CCCCCCCCCCCCCCCCCCCCCCCCCCCCCCCCCCCCCCCCCCCCCCCCCCCCCCCCCCCCCGAGGTTGTTTGTGTGTGTTGCAAGGTTTACGTTGAGACAAAGGCGCGAACCTTGTTGAGCTCTGTGATTTGACTGTGATTAGATGATGGCATTTGATCTCCAGGGCTCTTTGGTGGCAGGCAGCCTTCCATTCCGTTACTCGTAGTGCCAAGGTACATGTACCTACCCGTACCAACCACAGGCCATCCATTGTTCGGGCCATCTATGTCCCGCAAGCACTTAGTGGGCAACGCCGGGGATACTACAGGCGCCTGCTGTGGGCGTGTGCGACAGCAGGTACCCAGCAGGTCGAGCTCTATGCTGAAACTGTTGAGCCTTCACTGTTGCCTTATTAATACAGCGCTGTACCTGCTCTGTACTAATAGAGGTACTAAGCGCTTGGCCTTATCTTTACCTGTACATGTACCTTTGCTTCCGTTTGATGTTATTTGATCACTCAATTCTGCCTCTCAATGATGATTTGAAGGGTGAATTCTAAAGTTAGATTAGTAGATACAGAGAATGTCAACAACATATTGGCTTATTCACCACATGGTATTGGTAGATTGATGTACCCGGGCACTCAGGTAGACTGGATCCATGTACATGGAGAGAGAGTATCTTGAACTGCGGCGTAAAGCAAAAAGAGAAAGACTTCGCAAAACTCCACGGTCTACACATCTGGTACCACAATTGTATCATCATCGGCTCCATCAGGGCTTCAGTGGACGCAACTATATTCAGCCCAGACGTCAGCCTAGAATTCTATAACGAGGCCATAGCCCTAGTTGACAGGAAGCATCAGTACAGTTGATCATCATCTAAATGACCTTCAGGGAGCCATTGGGTCCCAGTATACCGAAAAATTAGAACTGGTGTCCAGATATGGGCACTCCAGCCATCATTTGCAGCCAGAAATATTTCTACTTTGACCACTCTTGCGGGCAATTATTATTTTGACAAGGGTCGAAGCGCATCTTGACGTGGATGCGGATGCAAGACAGTTTCGGGGTTTCCTAGTTTGTACGGATGTGGAAGACGGGCTGAGTGCGTCCGTCTCGTTCGAGCTAATTGCATCCAAATTCTACGGGCCATGTCCATGGCTTCAATGGACAAATTGCTGCCCAGATGACACTTGAGATGGCAGTCAACTTTGTCATCAGTTTAGGGAATCGCAAAATTGCAGCTTTTTGTCACCAGCCAGATCCCGTACTATGCACCAAAGACCTCGAAAGGCGGTGGTCTTGTTGGCCCGGCAATTCAAACCGAGGATCGAAAGCTTGGCTGGGGAGATGAGCCAAGCTTTCGATGAATAAAAAATCCAGAAAAGTGCGCACGAGGAACTCTCAGGTCCGGGGGAGGCATTTGCGTTTACCTGGACGCCTAATATACATCGAATCTCACTGACGGACATCTAAAGAGCTATTACCAATATGCGTGGTTGGTATAGAGTATGTATATTTATTATTGTATATACCTGGGCAGAAGGTACCTAAGTTTGGCATTCAATGCTCTAAGTGGATTAAATAGTAGCTACAAGATAATAGCTACTACCGAGTACATACTTGGTAGTATCTCTGGTAGATGAAAATAGCAATAGCTACCTCGGATAGACAGGAGTATCGAAAGCCGTCACTCATAGCAAAAGTATCAGCAACTATCGTAGATGGCGAAAATAGATATACTACCTTGAATAGAAGAAATAGCGGTAGATTTCCCAAGTAGAAACAAGCAGTTATGATAGCCACAATAGCCTCCTATTTTATCCAGTTGCTACGCGCCTCGTTACCGTCCTACGGACTGTTCCCAGCAGCGACAAAAAAAACAATCTTTACCATCTTCGGTGGTGACTTCGAAAATCCTTACTCTATCCACTTAGTCAATTTTACCGTGGATTCAATGGATAATCATCTCAGGGTAACGCCGTTGGTCTCGTCGTTCACGATGCTGACACTGCCATCTTGGTGGACGTAATTAGAACAAGCCGTGGTTGAAGCGTCCAGGGATCGACGAGAGAGGATAAATTTATACCTCTTCCCCCGAGCGCTGTATAACGTCGATAGACCCTCCGTCTATGCCAACCTAAGAATAATCGACATCGATCATCTGGCCAAAGTCTGGACCACTAGCCACCAGACCGCGCGGATGCTGGGGATACCCAATAATCGGAGATGGATACCGAATATGTAGCCCTCTAATTAATTGAGTTCTTCTTAGGTAAAGGCATATGCCACCCTATGCAGAGAACGGAAAACGGTGAGCTTTTTTTTACAACCATATTTTTCTTTGGTTACGATATAGTGAACCAGTGCGTGCGAATTGCGGATACATGCCATCTTCATCAGGAATAAATTTCGTCTGCTTGATACCTACCTAGTCACAGGTATATTGCTATCTCTTTCTAGTTGAGGTCGTATCGCTACTTTCCTTACATGCTCTACTTGTCCATATTTGCATCTTCCAGAGACAACCATTGCTATACCTGCCTAGATGATGATGAAAATCGACCCCCCCAAACTGGCCATGTCAGTCTTAAGTGACTCTAAGCTTATCCAGAAAGTGAGATCCTCGAATAAAGACAAAGATGAACTAAAATATATTCCAATGTTTTTTCCCTCTCGAATTATCCTCCGGCCAAGGCCGGAGAACTTCTTTTCTCGTGCGAATCTCTTCGTGTACCCCATCCTCCAGTCTTCGAATGATGCCGTCTGTAATGGCACCTTCACCAGACCATTCAGGATATCTCTCGGTATCCACCCACGTGGAACTTGGGCCTCTCAGTTCTTCATCACCCCAGCCCATACTTTGAGCGTTATGAAGAATAGACGGGCCGTAGAGGCCACCGTCTCCAAGATTTCGCGTGGAAAGGATTGGATCTGGCTGATGTCCCAAGGCGGCAATCTCTCGCTTGTCCATGCTCATGATAAAGTCCACCGCAGTTTCAAGTGTCACTTGAACCACAGCCTCACCATTATTGGTGCGCTGAACGACATTTGTAATTTTGTCAGCGATAGGCTCAAACGAAATGGGAGCGCTAAGGCCTTCTTCTGTTCCAGTTCGAACCAGGAGAACGGGGAATTGACGGATGTCAAGATCTTCATGATTGTATTCTTCGAGCCGCATGATGATCATGATGGCTCGGAATAGAGGCCGGAGGAGGAAAAACTCTTGATCACGGACGATTTGATCAATGCATGTGTACTTGTAAAGGCCCCATTTCTTCGGACCCTTGGGAGGTATTGGCTGCAAGGGATAAGGCGGCTCAAGGTCTTTGACTGCATCTCGAGCCTCTTGTGCTCTTGCACAGATTGCCGCATGGACTGGGATGGCGAGATCGACCAATGGGCCTGGCTGGAGATCGTCGGGAAGTAGTTCCGGGAGGAAAGTCTTTGCGAGGAATTGCAAGTATTCAATCTCGCTCTTATAAGGAACAAACCACTTATGGTAAAGATAGTTGTGCAGCACTTCCACAAACAGAGGTAGATAAATTGTGCGCTTCGCCGAGAAAATATATAAAGGCACAGCTTTGTTACAGCAATCGTTGGCTTCTTGAAGTGTCATCTCGGCGGTCAGAAACGCAAGATCGGAAATGTTTGGTTGGTAGATCCAACGAGGATCCGTCGAACGCCCATGTATCAGCGTACGATGCTTTGACTCATGGCGGCTGCGCAGATAGTGTAGAATCACATGCTGTGGACTAGGCGCCTTGGGCGCCTTGCCAAATTCATACACCATTTTCGATATAACGGTCGAGCGGCTTGTAATAGACCAAAAGGGGTAGAATAAGGGTTAAAGGATGCAATATTTAAGCAAAGTCATGTTCAATGGAGATTGGCATTTCCTTGCTGATGGGGGAAAGCTGCTTTTATATCTGTGTAATATGTGGCTGTTGTGAATCACATGGGCACCCTTGGAGAAAAAAGTTTTTAAATCAGCCTGAGGCACTTGAACTATGATACGCCACGTCGATTTCTGTGTAAACTTAGACGGAGTCATACTTATAGCCACCTCCAATATAATTTGGCTTGTTAGAGTATAGGCCGCCATAGATGGTGAATAAAGTTCCAATTGAATTTTCAATCCCGACGAAGTATTGAGTGGCTGCATAGGTACCATCGGCATTTGCCAGGCCACGGCGTCAATTTGCTGATGAAAAGATAACTTTGTTGTTGGCATATAATAAGTTCAAACTACGCTTTGTAGCCTGAACAGTATTCCACAAAGAGGTTGTCTCGTTACTAGTAGCTGCATGAATACGGGATGGAATCCCTGCTTAAACTATCTCGAATTGCTTCAGTTGAACTAACCGGCCAGAATAAATACAAACTAGTCTAGAAAAATGGGAACGAAAACAGGTGCGGTATTAAAGGCAGCTAGATATGATGGAGTGTGATGATTCCTATTTTTTTCCCGACCCGTGGTCAATCACTACATGCACTTTGATGTATCGAAAAAGTTAACACCATAGGTGCTCGCCATCACCCCTTCTACTTCTTCAGTAAATAGATTAGCCTGCTCGGCCATATTATGAATAAGGCAGTTGTCCTTGTGATTTGTGATGTGGCATTTACATCGCGAGATAATCAGTACTTCGTAACAGAAGATAGCATAGCTTGCGGCCTTTGTGAATTCCCAACTACACCAGAGACTTCCAGGGAGATTGAACAGTAGTTAGTAAGGATACTGCCTCATATAGACAAGATTATTAATGGTTCCTCCAAATAAATGGAAGATTCGACAGCTATTTCTGATCAGATGGATAATGCGACTTTACTAAAGTATAAATGAGAAGTAATAGATGGATCAAGTCGAAAAAAGCAGCTGCAACAGCTTGCGGTTACTCTGTCCATCTCTTTAGTAAAATAGCGTAAATTAATTCTCTCAGGAGCTTGTTCGTATCGCATGTATGGCATTGTTAATGTTATGTACATTGCGACACGGTGTTTCATCATACGCCGTAAGCAGCGTGTCTCGGTAGGAAATAAACATGGATGTCTCGCAGCCTAGATGGGTTCGTCTTTCCTACATCATTCGATGTACCTTGGTATTCCCATTTATAGTTGCCGGGTTACTACATCATGGCCACTTGAGAAAGGAAAGAGTAGTGGGAAGGATGATGTTTATCATATAGCCCGTCCATATCCAGTCACGTCTTGCTTCTCAAGTGGTTGATCCTCTACGATTCTGCGTCTCTGCTTTGTCTCTTGTGTGTCCTTTTTGTGTCCTTTTTGTGTCCTTTTTGTGTCCTTTTTGTGTCCTTTTTGTGTCCTTTTTGTGTCCTTTTTGTGTCCCTTTTGTACCTGTTTCTGGAAATAAGGTCTCCTGAATAATTGAAGAGCCTTGCGGCCAAGGGCCGAACTATTTTCGAAGAACTGGGACAAGCGATCGACGAGAGAGGACAAATATATACTCCTTTCCCCGAGATCGCCCCCCGCTATTTCACTTTAATAGACCCTCCGTACATGCCCCAGCTTCCACCGGGCTTGAAGAAGATCTTTGACAGGAATGGACAGCCGTTGGATCGATATCAGCGTCAGCATCTAGGGTGATGAATGTTAATGGTGGCTCAACCATGGAACGACTGGAGGCGATTTGGAGAGTTAGCATCGTGAACAACGAGACCAACACTGTTATCGATGCGATTGATCATCGAATCCACGGCAAGAATGGCCATAGCGAAAGATATTTTGAACTCACCACTGAAGATGGCGATGATTTTTTTGCGCTGCTGGGAACGGTCCATAGGAAAGGACCGGCACGTATGCTGGCCGGACATCCGAAATATTTCGGAGGGAAGAAGATGGTTCGGGTCAGGGTATATCCCGAAGGATCACCCAACCTTTGCTGGTTTCTCGAGAAGCAGAAGCCGAAGCACGACGGGCCCCTGTCTCGCAAGGCTAAGCGAGCTCCGCCTTAAGCAATACGGTCTGCCGATATGAAGATTGGACGTTGAAGTCGCGAGGCCCGACGTTAGGACGGCTCCTTCAACGCTCCTCTCTGATGATATAACGACCGGTTCCCCTCGACGGAGGGACACCCATCCGAGTTCGCGCGTCTGTGCTCCTGTGGGAGGGAGCAACCGCGTTGGGTGACCAGTACCCTTTAGCATCATCGCCTCATATTACTTTTGAGGTCCCATCGATGAAAGTCCAATACACACGACTTTGGACTTCGGTTCATGCAAAGGGGAAGCTAATTCACGAACTCACCAATGAGAAAACAAACATGGCCAATCAAATCATTATCCTACATAAGCCGGGAAAGGCTTGTCGAATTGTCCGAAGCAGTCTTAGCTACAACACTCATATCCTGTCTCGTTGAAACAACCAACGACAAGATATGTCCTTTCACCAAACCATCGATACGGCTTCATGTTATCACGCCAACCACATGCCTACCATGGATTTGGCTTCCGTGGGCTTCAAAGGATTGGTGATGTCTAACGCAGACGGAAGGCGGACTCCTGTCACTCGATTTGCTATCTTGAAGGTCACCTGTGAGGGACTCACCAGGGAGGTATGGGCAGTGGTTAAACCAACCCAAGAACATGGACCGGAGGTCGTGACCCTTCTGTTGGGATTACCCTGGTTGTTCGATATGGCGGCCGTGTTTGACATTCGCAATGGAACCTTGGAACTGGGACTGGTATCTGAGGGTGAGGCCCGCCGGGTGGTACAGGGACCTATCATGACATCTATGCGTCGACAGAAGATAATGTTGGCCCCAGACTCCCCGGAGATACTGAAACAATACACGCGACCAAGCTGGAGAAATCTTCCTGGATATTCTCTGTCTTCCAGCTAGTACTGTTGAATTTCCTCAGCGTCAACTGGATAAGAATTTGTGCCGTACTTTATCTTCGAAAACGAAAAACCCAACCATGAAGCTGTCTCAACCTTGAGCTTCTTTACTGGGTGTCTTAAGTGATCCGAGGAGCTTCTTTTCTGAGCGATTAGCATTGGATGCCTGCTCCGGCCTCCGGAATAGCAGACGACTTCAATCAAAAGGGCGGCTATTGTTCATCCTGACTACATGCTGAGTTCCACTCATAAAGTTAGCATCTCTTTAATGGCTGAGCAATGAGTGTGTTATCAATCCTTGGGAAAAGTTAGCACGAGCAAATATTGGTTCTGAGACGTAAGGCCCGAAGAGGCCTTTGTGCTTCCTTGCAGAGGCGAGAAGCATTTTCTGGTCACAACCAAAGGCCTTCAACAAGTATCAAGGTCGCGAAAAGATCTCTTTATCGGGGCTTAACTAAAGTCAAATATGAATGGGCGAAAAACACCACAGATTTGCAAACCCTTCTTAGAGCTAAGTTTCTTTCCTCCGATCTCAGAAGTATTCATTCCTCAACTAGCTCGCTAAACTCCTTTCTTGCAGTCTCTACAAGGCATGGGTTTGTTAGCAAGCGAATTGTTAACATTGCCATCCCCTTTCCGCATTTTATCGCGGCTTCATGGGCACTGTCGCTTCCTGCATGGTCTGCAAATCGTGGATGGTGTAGCGATACACCTTGGTCTGTAGGGATAGGGAATGCTCCGTGAAAACTTGGGACTTTGTAAGAAACACTGCCTGTTATCAGTTAGTTCCACAATAAACTTATAGATGGTATGGAGGCTATGTCACCCATGTCAGTCGATGCAGTGTACGAGTTGTCATCCTTCATCAGGATCTTCTCCCCAATAAGCGACATATCATCGGAATACTGCTGGCATATTGCTTCGTTGACTCTTAAATCTTTATAAGTCGGGCCCCTTTTTGACAGAGTGAGTTATTGTACTAATATATCACAGACAACGGATGAAACATACGGAATAATGCTATACTCGCAGCCTGTGCTCAGGGCGGCAGCATTAAAGGACTGCTGCACTTTCTTCAAAAGCGTCTCGCTTCGTTTCGTTGATGGACTTCGGACAAGCCAGGTCATTCGAGTGTAGTTGGCGATAACATTAGGTGCCGTGCCTCCGTCGTTGATGACTCCGTGAACTCGTTCGTCTGGTCTCATCTGCTGCCGAAGCATAGAAATCCCGTTGTATGCCATGACTGCAGCGTCGAGTGCATTGACACCGTTCCATGGCTCACCCGCAGCGTGAGCAGATCGGCCACGAAACTCAACCTCGAACTTTTGCGAGGCAATGAACTTCAAGCCGGCGAGTCCATCATAGCCCTCTGCGAATTGGTGCGCCGCTAATGGATGGGCCATGATGGCAGCAGCAATGTCTTCGTCGTCGAAGGCGCCGGCTTCAATCAGTTTGACTTTTCCTCCTCCGCCTTCTTCCGCAGGCGTGCCCAAAATGCGTATCCTTCCCGGAAAGCTTTCTGATTGAAGCACTTTTGCGGCTCCAAGGAAAGCCGCCATCGAAGAAGTTGTGATCAAGTTGTGGCCACAAGCGTGACCAATATCAGGTAAAGCATCATACTCAACACATATGATCACGAGAGAGCCACCTGAGCCAATCTCGGCCATGAAAGATGTCTCCAAGCCATACGCTTGCTTGGTCACGGCATATCCATGTTTTTGTAGGAACGAAGATATTGTCTCTACAGCATAGAATTCCTGATAACCTAATTCCGGGTTATCATGGATGGCTTTATTGAGTGCTCGCAGGTCTTGGTCAGCGGCGTCGATGGCATCATGTGAGTTGCTGAGAAACCGCTTCACGATATCTTCAGCCATGAGATCACTGGATTTGGGATGGACCATATTGACTGTGGGAGGATTTTGTCAAAGATGTACTTTAGTATTAACAAGTTTGTGGATATGAGGTGAGAGGTAATGAAACGAGTACTGTGAGGTTTTTAGTTGTCAATTCATGGGATGCTTCTAGTTTATATAGAAAGCCGAGTCCCGAGGAGACTCCTCAACAGAGCCTGGCGCGTTTCAATCGGCTGACTTCAATATTGATGAACTTGTAGCCTTTGATATCATATAGCACCCTTGGCGAATGTCCTAACTGTTGGCAAATTTAGTAATATTTCGACCGGCTAGTTGGTAGTTGGCTATGCTTACTTTCTAGTAGAGAGTAGATCTTCCGACCGTCGGCAAGTTCAGGACCGACTTTTCTAGTTTACTCGGCAAATTCGCTTGTTATTCAAAATTCATGCTTTCTAACATTTGGATGATTAGGGGGGCAGGCGGAGAGTTGCTTGATGGACAATTGCTTCATTGGATCGGGCAGTAATGATTTTCTGGACTTTGTAGTAACCGCTGGGAAGTATTTGAAGCTTTAGCTATATACTCCACAAGCAATGAATAATTCACCACTTAGGAAAACAATTCTTGCCATAAAAGGTTCTTCCTTATTTATCACGACTTGTCTCTTTGTTCATCTCAAGGTCGGCGACATTGACTAATGTAACTAAAGATATGAGTAAATTTCTTGGATAAGATGATGAGCATTTACCGCTTATTGTGGGACTTGGGAGCTATGTTTATTATGCCTTTTGACATTAGCTCACTAGAATTTGCATATATAAGTGGCTCTAGAGGTGTTAGGCTGTCTGCGTCTATCAGAGATGTGGACATCTTCCCTGTCTCTGCAGCCCAGGCTCTGACTAGCAACCGCAGAGCACTCAAGCCCTACAGTGGGCAGATACGCCGACTGTAGACTGAGCTAGTGATGCATTATATGCAAAGGCTGGACTAGCTGAGGTTCTTGATGGGCCTCGTCCGTTTCTTAGAGGCTTCCGTAACGACTGAAATGGTTTGATGAACGCAATGAGAATGAGCCTGCACCAAGTTCTATTATAGCAACATCTAAACTAATACGTAAATGAATTGACGGAATGGCCTGAATTGTTCTTCAAATTTGACAATTTCGCAATATTCCCGAGCTGACTATCATATGTAACATAAATACCATGCTGCCTCCATTAGAGATTGTCAACCACTGTAGAGAAAGCACCGGAAACCTCGAAGGGATAATACTCGATCTGTTAATCTTAACTTGTCGCTGCGATTCTCACAGAGGAAGATGGAAACAAACTTTAACCTTCTTATTCTAGAATTCGAATTGCCCGCTGATGAGATTCTCAATGCCTACGGCACATACGGCGATATTATTTCCCATTGTTTACACAAATGTTGGCGTTATGATCAAACTGCGTCATCAACCCTGAGAATTTTGAAACGGAGCGTCTTCGAAGAAGACGTGCTGCCTCCGTGGAACGAAATCCATGGTCTTCTTTTACTAGGAAGCAGTAAGAGGCATCTCCTCCAATAGCGCCGTGAGTACTAACGGGTTAGCTTCAAGGATACACAGCCTCTGATGACGACCCATGGGTGATATTTTTGATAAAAGCGGTCCAAATGGCATATATGATGAACATACCTATGATTGGGGTGTGTTATGGTCATCAAATAATTGCACGGGCTCTGGGTGGTAGGATATCGCGCAACCCAGCAGGGTGGGAACTCGGCGTTTGCAAAATGGACATGACATCCATGGGCCAAAAACTGTTCGGAAAGGATGCTCTTGTAGGTTATCTTTGGACATGAAATTACGCGAATTATACTAACGCCTTTGCCTATTTGTTAGATGGTTCACCAGATGCATAGAGATGCCGTGGTTGAAGTTCCTCCAAACATCGATGTCATTGCTTCAAGTTGTTCCTGCAAGCTTCAGATGATGTTCCAGCCAGGAAGAGTCCTCACGATCCAGGGACATCCAGAATTTGATTCAAGAATCTCGAAATCTTGGCTGGATCAAAGGTACAAGGAAGGCTTGGTGGAACAAGGGCTTTATGACTATGCGCTCGCAAAGCTCAATCTGAAGCATGATGGAATGGAAATACTGCAAGTGATGTGTAAATTTCTACTTGGAACAGCCATATAGCTTCTGCAACTATGGAGGCATTTCGTACTGGCTGGTTCTCGGACAAGCGGCGTAAGCTATCATACCCCAGTGGCGTCAAGATGGTCTTTAAGATGGGCGGGTCTCCGCGGAGTGATTTGGAGATGATTGCATGAGTGGTTCTGTCTCATTCTTGAGCCTCAGGAGAAAAAAAATACATATGGCATTTTCTATTCAATAGCATACGGAGAGATGTTTAATGTTGGTACCAGCAGAATCTGTCATCGGAAACATATTGCCCTCTTTTTTCTCATGAGAGGGACATTACAAGATAAGAATCCAAATTGCCAAGACAATAGTGAGATCTCTGTGAAGGAGGCTGAATTTGCCGACCGGCTAATTCAGCAGATTCAGCTCTTCTTCTCCCCCCGCAGATCGCCTTCTTCCGATGCTCATGGCCAATAGACTTGTATGCCTCCACGCCTTTCATCAACAGCGTTTCGGTCGGACGGCTGCGATTCTCATACCATCCCCAGCAAAAACCCCTCGCGAGATTTGAACCCGCGAGATTTTACCTTGTGCTTTTGCTTTTGCCGGCACAGTAAGCCCCAGGAATGCCGCAAGGGCGAGATCCTTCTGCAGCGGCTTCCGGCCGGCACTCACGACGGTCCGTCGCCGGTTGCTGGACATGCAGAGGCAAGAAAGTCAAATGCGATGAACAACAGCCTGTTTGCGGCAGATGTTGTCGATTGCACTTATTTTGCGACTATCAGCCAAGGCCAAGAAAGCCGTATGTTCGGGGAAGAGCAAAAGCACTTATACAGCAACCACAGGAAGAGTCAAGCCCTGCCCGGGGTGGGAGTGAGAGTGAGAGTCACGAAGCAGACGCTCGACCTTCCGAGGAAGAGACCAACTCCTCACAAGTAATCGTGCTCAACATGAGTACAGATGATCTCTGTCACTACTCGCCGAGCCCTCCAAATGTCCCTGCTGCCTGTTCTTTGACACTGGGGCTTCAGGAGCGGGAAGCCATCCAGTACTTCCGGACCACGTTTTCCAGACATCAGCATACAAAAAACCCAAACTACAATGTCATCTCGGTCATTTACAATATTGCAACCAAGTCCGAACTCGCAATGCACATGGCCGTTTCGGTTGCGAGACGGGAAATGCTTTGTCTCCAAAACGATGGTCAAACTGATGTCAAGGACGACGATATCTCTATCCTGCACTATTCGGCAGCCCTGAGTCAATTGGCCGAGTTTGTAAATGGAGCTGACGCCGTCACTGGGCTTGATACCATCCTGGCCAGTATCTGGCTCATGTTGACCTATGAGCAGAAATTCGGCGATGGCAACGGTGTTGGCCTATCTAGTCATCTGAAAGGCCTTGCGACAATAGTACAGAGTGAGGCCAGGCAAGCCCTCACTCTTCCGGCAGACGCAAACCACCATATCCCTTCCTCTGCCAACACCATGGAACTCGATTCTTCTCAGAGACGCATGCACACCCTCTCTCTCTTTTCTGCGCGGATGCTGATTTGGATATCGCTCCTTGACGCTGGAGCTGCCTCTACTGGACTGGGAGGAGACTTTAACGAGTCGCTCCATGGCTTACTTGAAGAACATGCTCATATCTGCGACGGATGTGATTCTCGATTACAAACCAGTCTCTTCCGGAGCTACACTGAAGTAGCAAAGTACTCAAATCCATTGTTTTGCAGGGTATGGGGAGATGATTATCCGATACAGGAACTGATGGATGACATCAGCAACCACGACATATTCTTATTATATGGCTCCTGTTTTCAGGTCAGATATATGGCCTCCAGATTGGATAGCCTGAGGAAGCAGGTTTCAACCGCCGCCGAGCAATGTGAAGACGTCATTGAGCTGGCCTTTCGGGAGATAGCTGAAACATACACCGAGACGTTCTTACTGGCGAGCAAAATAACCGTCGAGACGGATAACAGTCTCCGCGTTATTAAGAACCTTCGCTTCATTGTCCCTCACTACCATGCGGCGATAATTTACTACGTAAGATGTGCGGATCCTCGACGATCATTTCCGGACAGGCGGATGTCGTCGTTGAAGATGATTATGAAATTAGCATACCAAGCTTTCAAACTCGAGGGGGACGAGGCCATGCTGCGGATCGCTTGGCCACTCTTCATAGCGATACTCGAAACCGATGATCTCCTCCACAGGGAGTGGTTGATTGCTCGGCTACGAGCGCTCGGGAAATTCGGCAAGAATTACTCAAGGGCAGCGGTTTTTGTCGAGTCTTTCGTTGCGGAAGAAGAACGCAAAGGGGAACGCTTAGATTTCCAGGCTTATTTGACATCAGGAGGTTTCGAACAGTTCTCGATATGACTTGACAACAGCGGTTCAGACCCTTGAATTTCCAAGCTAGTTGTTTCGTGGGGTAATGGCGCGCGACTTTACCCCAGACTGGTCCCTTGGAATCTCGCGGGGGAAGCAAATGGTCGGCAAATTCGGTGGAGTTGGGCGATGCTGACGAGGAGATGGCAGACGCCACAACACTTAAGCATGCTAGTATAGAGCCCACTCTAAGCTAAACAAATCATAGCCGTACTGAAGAAACCGCCGTATAGCCTTTAAAGAGCGAGGGGTTAATATTGATGGCTTAGTTATTCAGATACTGGACGGTCCTGTGGGCACATCTATATAAGTTCCATTTTGGCCACTGTGAACATGCCGATGCAACACCTCTCACCTCGGAATCAGAAGAAATGACAGACATCATGCACATGACAGAAACGAAAGACAGCACAAGCAATAATGGGGCTGACGTTGAGAAGCATGAGGTCGTGGCTGATGTTGGGAAGCACGAGACCGTTGGCGGCCATGATGGAGATGAAGCAATGGCAGCATTTCAAGACGGCCAGACTGTGGACGTTGACGAAGATACCAACAGACGGCTACTTCGCAAAATTGACCGGCATATCTTACCTATAATGTGCGCGGTATATTGCATGAACTACCTGGACAAAACAACCCTTTCATACGCCAGCATCATGGGACTGAAGGAGGACATCCACCTGGTAGGAGACAATTACCAGTGGCTGGCGTCGCTCTTCTACTTCGGGTACCTTGTCTGGGAATGGCCTACAGTCCGTCTGCTGCAGAGATTGCCAATCGCCAAATACTCGGGGTTCTGTGTCATCTGCTGGGGCGTGACTCTTGCCCTATTCGCAGTTGTGCACGATTTCAAGGGCGCCGCCATCGTTCGATTCCTCCTCGGAGCTTTTGAGTCGGCGGTGACTCCAGGTTGGGCTCTCATCACATCCCAATGGTACAAAAGGTCTGAACAGGGGTCCAGAACGGGATTGTGGTTCAGTTTCAATGGCTTTGCTCAGATCTTTGGCGGTGTCATCGCCTACGGCATCGCTGTTGGTGGCGAGAAGGACATCTATACTATTCAACCTTGGAGGATCCTCTTCATCCTCACAGGGTCACTCACTTTTGTTCTTGGTATCGTCTTTCTTATCGTCGTACCGGACAATCAACTCAAGTCGAGATGGCTTAGTGAGACTGACCGAGTTCTCGCCGTGGCAAGGGTCAGAGTCAACCAGCAGGGAATCGGCAACAAGCATTTCAAGACGTATCAATTCAAAGAGGCCCTTATGGACCCGCTGGCCTGGGCATTTGCTTTCTATAGCATTGCTTCCAACATACCAAATGGGGGCATCAGCAACTTCTTCAGTCAGCTCGTAAGTGGCATCAAGGGGATGTACGGCTCAATCTTTGACTAATGTGACTAGATTGTTTCGTTTGGCTACAGTCCTTCGCAATCTCTGCTTCTTGGCACCCCCGCTGGTGCCGTTCAAGTTGTCAGCTTGTTACTCAGTGGTTGGTATGGCGATAAATACAAAAATCGACTCCTGGTATCACTTGGTGGACTGAGTTTGGCAGTACTTGGAGCCATCCTGCTCGTTGCGTTGCCAGATGCTGCAAAGGCGGGTAAGCTTGTCGGTTACTACCTGACTCTGGCTGGGACGACGCCATTCGTGGCACTATTGAGTCTTATTTCTTCTAATATTGCCGGATACACCAAGAAGACCACTGTGGCTGCCATGTATCTGATCTTCTATTGTGCCGGCAACATCATTGGTACGTATGCTCCTCCAAAACTTGCATGGTAACAGTCCAACTGACCAATTGAGATGCAAGGCCCTCAAACCTTTCGCCCGGCGGATGCACCTGGTTTCATCCCGGCTAAAGTCACCATTCTTGTCTGCTATATTCTTTGCATGATAGACGTCGTCTTTATTTGGTGGTACTGTAGATGGATGAATCAAAAGAAGGCCGCCCTGAGAGCGGAACCCGGATACGTAACTCAAGAGAATTCTGAGTAAGTGTAGCGCCCTTGTATCTGAGAGATGATATCCTGACTGATTATTGCATAGGTGGTTGGATTTTACGGACAAGGAGAATCCTGAATTTACCTATACTCTATGAATGAGCTACTGTTTTATCAAGCCCATTGGGGTAAATCTCCGAGTCTGCTTGATTGAGGAGTTAGATGGGCTCAGAAGTTTGCCGTCGGGTGGCATGGTAGCGTGGGCAGATATATAACGATTACTTGATCAAGGAACGATAATAAAGAAGATTTAAATTGTATCCCCTCATAAAGATTGGTATGCGTCTTCTCATATCAATGGAAGAGAATACTTGGATTAGAAAGGTTCTTCACTCCCAAAAGTCTACCGTGAGTTCCAGCTTCTGTCTCGGTACTTGAAAGCCTGTTCTAGATCAGAAGCCAAGTGCATGTCTGTAGACGTCTCGCTGCTGGTCTCCCATAAAAAAGATGTACCACAGACACTGATTGTTCGATAATTCGATTCAGTGACATTATATGATTATACTGTAAAACCCAAATTAGCTGCAGAGTAGTCGTCGGAAGCCTTTGGAAAACATTCCAGTCCAACACTATGGCGGATGTAGTTGAGCGAGATGAATGACCAACGCATCTAGATTTAGGGAGAAGTGGTAAACCACTTTAAAACAGATGCTGTACAAGAAAGCTGCGAAATTGGGACAACAAAAGAGAAGAGCGACGTCGGTTTGCTTGCAGTACAATCCTTCAAGGCTGTTGCTTTCTTTACCGGGTGTCCAAGATGATGCTTGAAGCTTCTTTCTTGAACAAGTGACGTTGAACGTCTAATTCAGCCTCCAGGATAACAAAAAGTCTTCAATCAAAAGAAGAGCTAGTTTCCCTCCTGACTGCATGTTGCGACTGGCACTCCAATGACTGCAAAGGCAGCATCTCCTCCCATTGGGCCGCCCCATTCCAGCTGATTTTAGGCAAAACAGCCCATCACTGTTCGATCACGGTCGATGTTTTTCCTCCGTACTCCTGGGGTAGGTGCATGATCAAAAAACATGCCGCCGAGACGACCCTGGCAGCCAACCTTTTGCTTGCATCTGCCCGAGTGCGATTATATCCAATTTAGCCGTTAGACGAGCTGCACCTCTGCCCCGTTTCAAACCCCGCGAATCACGGCTCGAGTCCCGTCTTTTTCTCCTAGATTGCTTCATCGGCACTAGGCCAATGGAGAGAAAGCCGTGTGGAATGCCGTCGTAGGCTGTTTTGTTGAAGAGTTGGGGTGCATGCAGCTTCGGACCGGGGGCACATGGCGTTATGGTTAATTGGAAGCATACGGGTTAAGTATATGTCATAATATATTGGGCATATGGTAATCGATGTAACATTGTGGCCCATGGATGCCTTGGGCACAATTTCTGCAAGACGGCAAAGATGGATCATTCGCCATTTCACCACGGGATATTGTAATCCTGTAGACGGCTATTCCTCGTGTTTCGTCACACTGCCTGTTGCGGTTTACCGTGTTACTTAGTCTCTGTGAATGAGAACCTCGTCAACAAGACCCTGTTGAAACATCGAATCGGTCGTATGTTCGGAACTTTTTTCCTTTTCTTGTTATTTCTTTCTTTAACCCCAGTGCCGGGGACGCCAAGACGAAATTAGCCGTGAGCCAGTAAATGAAACATGCCGCTTCTTCGTACATGTACCGGGACCTAGGGGTCCATTAGTCCACGGCTTGTGGCAAACTACATACATGTGATCTCGCTTGGTGTTGCTGGGACAGCAGCATCACCATGCCACGATGGGATCCCAAGGCGCAATATCTTTATGAAAGAGGATCATATTCAGGCGGGGTAAATTGCTCAATTGTCGACCATTCGGCTCTCCGGAAGCATGCCAGCATTCTGTTACAATTATCCGCAAACTGATTTATAAAGAGCGACGCCTCCTCTCGAAAACCGATAAAGAAAAGTCATCAATCAATCAGCTGGTAAAGTCCATCACAGCAAGAAACAAGAACAACAACTTGACACCATGGTTGCCTTTACTTCCCTTCTCGCTGGCTTCGCCGCCATTGCCGGAGTCCTGTCTGCTCCCACTGAATCCTCCGTTGAGGTGGAAAAGCGTCAGTCTATTGGACCTGGCACTGGCTATAACAATGGTTACTACTACTCTTACTGGAACGATGGCCATGCTGGCGTGACATACACCAACGGTGGTGGCGGTTCATTCACCGTCAACTGGTCCAACTCTGGCAACTTTGTCGGAGGCAAGGGATGGCAGCCGGGTACCAAGAACAAGTAAGCAGAAATTACAACCCATGTGTCAAATACTATCACAAGAAGCTAATATATATCTCCTTAGGGTTATCAACTTCTCCGGTAGCTACAACCCCAACGGAAACAGCTACCTGTCCATCTACGGCTGGTCTCGCAACCCTCTCATCGAGTACTACATCGTCGAGAGCTTTGGAACCTACAACCCATCCACCGGTGCCACCAAGCTGGGTGAGGTTACATCCGATGGCAGTGTCTATGACATCTACCGAACTCAGCGTGTTAACCAGCCCTCCATCATCGGAACCGCCACCTTTTACCAGTACTGGTCGGTCCGCCGCACCCACCGTTCCAGCGGCTCGGTCAACACGGCCAACCACTTCAACGCTTGGGCTTCTCACGGTCTCACTCTCGGCACCATGGACTACCAGATTGTTGCTGTGGAGGGATACTTTAGCTCTGGCTCTGCTTCCATCACTGTCAGCTAAATAGATTGATGTGACGACCGAAATTGGAATGACAAGTTTATGAAGAGCTCATGTTCTTTACTCTAGTTATATGGAGAAATCGTGGTGCTGAATTGGCTAGTCTCGATTCTGTATACGAGAAGATTGCACAAATAGACCTAGTCAAACAAGAAACGAAAATTATGACTTGATACAAGTACTTGCCACATTGACGTACTACTTAAGACTTGCTCAGCCAAGGTGTAACGTTTGTTTACAACAAGGACGAAATTATGCTTGGTAGTGGATAATACCTAAGCTGTTGCTTACAGAAGAGAGTAGGGATAATTTCGCATACAGAAAAAAGTAGGAATAGTATTGCTAGTAGTGAAGATTTTTCTTATATATAATCTATGATACAGAGTTAGCTGGCATAGTATATGGGATTAAGTTATGACTTGATAAAAGGACTTCCCACCTTGGTATACTAGACATGGAAGAGTCGCTCAGTCGAGACACGATATACCTTTTCATAATGAGGATGTAATTTAAAGTGGAAGTTAATATATTATGTGCTATTTTAGAGGCTGGAGTACGTCGATTGTTTAGCAAGGAAGTGTCTGGCACCATGTTAAACATCTGGTGAAGAATTTTACATTAGAGACAGCAGCTCGGAGCCTCATATACTTGCAAGCAAACCATAGTACATGATCTTTTTGCATTTGAAGTCGTGTTCATTAAATCAATCATCCCTTGACGGCTACATGAGCGTCACAGTATGATGCTACTGGTTGTGGATTATTAACAAAAGAGGTGTATATTATACACTATTCTTTACGCAGGGTCTATGACAAACTGTATAAAAGACGGCCACGCACTTGTAAATGTAGATGTTGCCTCCTTCTTAGATTTAATCTCAGCTGATATATATGTAGCTATATTACTACGTCTTTCTAGTTGAGGTGGCATTATTACATTCCCTACCTATGTTGAGAATGACGTGTAGATCCACTTGATTCTCCTTACGCAGCAAGTAATAGTAATAAGAAGGCCGGACTTATTCTGTGGTAGGGACCTCTGTTGCGACCATAAGAGGATCGGATGGTAACAAGTTTTAGTCTACTTTACACTTAATGAGACAAGAGACGCTGATGCAAGTCATCAAGGAGCTTCTTATTTTGGGTCGCAACGTACTGCTGCTCGGGGCCAAAACTCTCGGGAGGGTCGATTCCATTGATCTGCCAGAGCGCCGCTGGTCCTTCTATCACGACATACTCGAAGTGTATATCGTCACGCACGTAGGGCTCCGTGACGCGGTTGACGGCTTCTTTAAACTTGGATGGCCCTTCCAAGTCCACTCCATCCCAATTTCGAGCAACGTGAATGATTTCGATCCAAATTACACGAGACGCCTCCTTGCCTGCAACATAGCGAAGGCTTTGTTGGATAGGGAAGAAAAAGACATTCACATAGTAGTCAGGAAGGCCGGCTGAGACATATAGGTCCGTGACAGCTTGCGTCATTGACTGTTTTCAGAGCCTGATTTAAACAGGTCTTCGTTATGGTACACTTTCCAGAGAGGCATAATGATTGCTTGTAAAAAAGGACTATAATAAGCACGCGGGAAAAGCGAGGATGGAATAATCAAAATGTTGTTCTAAATGAATCTATTAAAAATCAGTGCCTAATTATAAGGTAGGCGGGAGATTAAATTGTTTTATAAATAGTGTTTATAGATGAGTTGGATCATCTTTACAAAAGTTCATCCGGCGGACATGCTATCTGATGATCAATGCTTAGGCAGAATGTTTATTTATATCTTTTGTACATTAACTCCCTAGGTACTCCGCAATTACATCGCAAGAAAATGCAGGCTCCTCACATCCCAGTCTGTTGCAGCGTGAAGCGTATTGGCTTGGGTTTGGCGCTCTAATAAATGCCCAACTTCAGGCAATTTTATTCATAGTTCCCGTATCTTTACACCACAACTAGTGACATTATTATGGCCTGTGAGGCTTTTCGATTTCTTCACTTGACTATATATGTGAGGTTGGTATATTGCTATCTCTGATAAATAATGGGCGAAAGCTGGAGAGGCTCACTGGCCAATTTTGCGAGGTTATACAGTAATAACAGGAGAGTACTTTGTAAGAAGTGGTTTTACTTTTAACAGTAATAGACCACAACCTACTCAGCCAGTTCACCCGTAGTGGGAGCCAAATATAAAACAATTCTCCAATCATTAAGTAATCATTAGCACCCTTGATTATTAAATAACCTCTACTTTATTTTCTGCAGCCATCTGTGATACTATTATGCTGTCAGCACTTCCAATCAGTAATCATTATCCTTGATCACTAAACACCTCTATTCGCCAGCAGGGCAATTGTGTAGTTCCCTGGTTCAGGTCCAATCCGGGTAGGAATTGGACCACTCCTTTTCTACCTATATATATAGGTAGGCATTTGCTCTTAGCTACATGTACTTACAAGTCACCAAGTCAAGTATAAATCAAAAGGACATATACTCTCTTTGTATACTGCTCTAGGCCAAAAAAAATATAAACACATTGAAAGCCACACAGCGCCCTACAACCCAACAACAGCTCCAAGACTCGAACAGAAACGCTACCAAGTACAGATCCCCCGTGAAGTCAAGCAAGAATCGCGAGCAAGAGTCCGAGACCACCAGCCGGCCTACAATGTACCCCAAGTCGACAATCATCATGGCTTGTGCAGCGGCCCTTGCGGCCCTTGCCGGCGCGTCAGGCCCGCAGCACGTCAACCTGGCGAATGGACAACTGTACCCAGCGGAGCAGATCATCGATATGCAGGACGGCAATCTAAACGCCATAGTCCGAAACCTCGTGGATTTCGGGTCAGGTCCCACTGCTGCAGGGGCAGCGGGCGTAAGTCGCCTGCTTGCGCAAGCTGGCTTTAATGCCGTGGAGGAGAGCGTCATAGTGGACGACCGTCGCGAGATCGAGACATCGGCCACGGTACAGACATCAGGGCTAAACTACCACATCGACGTCACGGTGGAGGCAGACCCGGGTTCGACGAGTAATATCTCGGTGACCGTCGGGTTCTGGTGGACGCGGTTCGCTGAGGAGACAATGGTCAACCTGATCGAAAACGCAATTCTCGGCATGCGTCCAGGGCAAGCTACCGAGGCCGTCTTCATCTTGGTGGATGACGATAGTCATACTTTTATGGGCTTCGACGTAAAGATATCGCGTACCATACCATGAGTGTTACGACCCAACTCTTATGGTCGCGACAATGGAACCACAGGGTAGAATCATGATCGATTCCACTCAACTCCAGTATACACGACTAGATATACAAGTTTACGTTCATATCACTCATTTAAAATACTTAGATAGTTAGTTGGTATTATAGCGTTGATAATACAACTAAATCAGAACCTCAATCTTTACTGTATTTTATATTATTAACTAGTGATAAAATTGTGTATTACCGACTTGATTGCTTTGTTAATATAAACCTTGGAACAAAAAGGTTTATCCCCCGGGAATAGCTAACCATAGTGTGTATAGGACCTGGTTTATTATCATTATACATGGTAGACCATAGGATATCACTACTATCACTAGAAAAATAATAAATCGAAGCTATAGCTCACAGAAGGGAGTAGCATACGATCTATCACTAGTGGCGACGATTTCTCCGCATATAATCCATGGCAAAGAAAGAACTGGTATGGTATATGTGACAGAGTGTCTGGATTGGGGGTTTGTCACGATAACGAAGCAACTTCATAATTCAAAAGTTGATGAATGTATCGACTGGACGGACGGCGGAATCGGGCACTTCAACAATCAGAATTTCCAGTATCAATGTTGTCGTCTTTGTCTTCGCTTCCGTCGCAGACTTTTAGCATGACTGTTTCTGTCTTGGGCCATCTTGATACGGCTGTTTCATTCCTGACTGTTGGCGGGCTGGATGCGATGCTTGGCTGGATTGTGCACGGCTGGACCATAACTCACGCAAACTCCAAGAAACCGGCATTGTGCACATCATTATCATTTAGGGTTACTATGTACAGAGTAAAATAATTATTAGCCAACACATTACTGCTTCTCTGTTATTCTCCCAACATCAGGACTCTCACGAAGCCTCTTCATCCTCGTTATTCTTAAAAAGGTTTTTGATGAGCCTTGCAGCCAGGGGTAATGGTGGCCGTGGCGAAAGTGGTGGCGGCCGTGGCGCACACGCATCCCTGGCCAGAAATGCTGGTGATGGGAGGGGACTTGCAGGTGGGCTCGCTGGTGAAAGAGGCGTAGGTGCTGGTGGGCTCGACGGTGGGCTCGACCAGCTCGGCCTTGACGAGGACGGGGATGATCTGGCCGGTGGACAGGCTGAAGGAGCGGTGGTTCAGCACGGTGAGGATGGCGCCAATCTCGCCAGAGTGGCTGGTGATGCTGAGCCAGGTGTTGTCGTCGTGGGAGAAGACGTCGTCGATGGCAATCTTGCTGCGGGCGACCTGGTGAGCAGAGGTCTCGCCCTTGTCCTGGGCGCCCTCCCAGAGCTCGTCCTGCTCGGTGAAGCCCGCCTCGAACTGGAAGTTGGGAGCAAAAGCGTGGATCTGAGTCTTGGTGGAGCGGCGGTCGCAGGTGTGGATGCTGATGCTCTCACGGAAAAGCTCCTTGATGGTGGGCTTGAAGGGGTGGGAGTGAGGCAGCTTCAGGCTGGCAAAGGTGAGCTGGGCCGTCTGGAGGCATCGTCGGAGAGGCGAGCTGTAGTACGACTCAAAGTAGGGGAGACCGTCGGCGAAGCGGGACTTGTAGTAGGCATTGGCCTTTGTGGTTTGCGCAATGCCGTTGTTGGTCAGCTCGGGGTCAGCCCAGGTAGCGGTGCTGTTGCCATCTTGCTCAGCCCAGTAGCACTGCATGAAAGTTAGCAACCATGTGAAGCCCTGGCATCAATCATTCAACTCACATTCCAGGCAGGGGTGCCGTAAAAGGTCTCGGCGGCGTTGTGCCACCCCTCGCCGTGGCGACCCATGAAGAGCACCTTGTAAGTGGTCTGGTCCTTCTTGTTCTTGCGGCAGTCGTCGTTGAGCGACTCAACGTAGTTGGCGAAGCGCTCCCACTGGGTCTTTTTGTGGCGAGGGTCGAACTTGGCGTCAGTGGGGTAAGTCCTGTTGAGAAGACCAAAGTTGAAGTTGGCCTATGAATGTCAGGTGTAAGTCGAGGCATTTGATATTGAACTCATCCTCTCTTTGGCATACATACATAGTCAAAGGTGCTGGGGTCGGTGTTGGCATCGTCCTGGAGGAAGAAGCCCGGGACGGAAGTGTACTTGATCTCGTCACAGTCGGACACTTCCTTCCAGGCCATGGCGCCGGGGGCGAGCGCCAGGGCAACAGACAGCATCGAGGCCTTCATCTTGACAGTACTTGATGATGAAGATGAAGATGGAGATGCAGGTGATGATGCAAATTCAGATGCTCAGACTTGCTTGGTTGCGACGGGGAACAGGCGACCTGGCGAGCGAACAGGGACGCAAATGTGCCGACGGGCGACCGCGACGACTTAAGTATCGTGCTGAGTTCCCCAGACCTGCTGAAAATGTAACCGTCGCCAGGGCGGTTGCTGCAACCATGAAGTCATATGGAGCCTGTCAATGCTACTCTGGGGCCCGTCAGCAATTGGGCCGATGCGCCGTCTCTAGCGTGCTATCGTCGGTGTCGAGAGAAGAACGGCCAGCAGGTGAAGCCCCATGTCTGCTCCAATCGATCGACAACGTGGCGGGCCAATCCGGGGACTAGAGGCTTCAAGGCGCCTGGGAGCGCACGTGGAAGCGCACCTTGGCAGCGTTTTCAGGCGATTACTGGGTTGGCCGATGGTTCCTGGATCTCGCAGAGGAGTATCGAGAGTTGCTGCTAATACGATTGAGGCCGTGTATCCGTTGTGCGAGGACGAAATCGTAGAGTGGACAAAAGGACCAGGCTGGAGTTTGGTGGATGGGCATGGCGATGTGGGATGTCGATGCTGAGCTCGCATGGTCGGTGAGGCCAGAGCGGGACTCTGCGATTTTGCCTGTGCTGGTAAAAATGGCTAGCGGGGGACTATCGAGATGGATTCGCGCAGCATCTTGGAGTAATAATTTCGGTGATGCTCGTTGATGAAGAGTATGAAGAAGAGTGAAGAGATGAAGAGAATGGATGTGAATGAAGTCAGAATGACTTTGAAACTGGCAGTCAATTGCCCAAGGTTTAAGGTTAACAGAGTACCGCAACTCTCTTCACGTGCTAGCGCCCGTCGCTTGGGGCGCCTTTAGCTGGACGAACAGCCCCCAAAAGGGTTCCATCCAGCAGAGGCTCCAGCAGTGCTAAAGCTGCTACAGCTGCTAACGAATTGATGCGATAAGATAGCGATTCAGTGAATGTCACCTTCATTTCCCCGCAGTCGCTGCAGAACCCCTGAGACACGTTGAGCTCAAGCTTCCTCCAACAAACGCCAGCTCCGTCTTCGCAGCTGTTCAACGGCGCCAGCGACATTTGATATCGAATCGACGTCTCTTCGGCTGGAACAAACAACTGCGCAATCTCGGTTTGCATTAGCTCAGCGCCCGACCCCCTACCAGATTCTCAAACCCACCCCCCACGTTCCGCCTGTCGCAACATGAGCGCCTCCAGCTTGAACCAGGACGATCTCGAGCAGCCTCAGGGCGAGCCCGCGCCTGAGCTCCTCGATGGTCGCATCTGGGTAGACGGCTGCTGGGACTTCTTCCACCATGGTAAGACCACCGCTAGCTTCCAATTGACCCACGGGAGCATCTTGCTAATGAGTTTGGGCGTCGCTGTCAGGCCACGCCGGCGCAATGGTCCAGGCCAGACAGCTTGGCGACGAGCTATACGTCGGCGTCCACTCCGACGAAGCCATCCTTGCCAACAAAGGCCCGACGGTCATGAACCTTGAGGAGCGGTATGTTTATGTGATGAGGGAAGAAGAAGCGCCAAAAGAGAAGTGCCAAAAGAGAAGTGCAATGGCTGACTAGCAGAGCGCGAAAACAGTCTCGCCGCCACAGATGCCTGTCGCTGGGTTACCAAGTCGGTCGGATACGCCCCCTACGTGACGCAGCTCCCCTACATCTCGCACTACGGCTGTCGATACGTTGTCCACGGCGACGACATCACCTCGGACAGCGATGGAAACGACTGTTACCGCTTTGTCAAGGAGGCTGGGCGCTTCAAGGTCGTCAAGCGATCGCCCGGCATCTCCACCACCGATCTCGTTGGCCGCATGCTGCTGTGCACTAAGACGCATTTCATCAAATCGCTAAAGAAGACGCTGGCTGGACAGGAAGGCATGGGCACCGCGGAGGAGCGCAAAGCCCAGGCCGAGGCGATGCTCGATAGAGTCAAGCTGTACGCGACGGACGAATCAGCCAAGAACCCCGGCGTCGATGTCTGGTTCTGGAATTCAGAGACGCCAGAAAAGCTGGGTTCCAGCGAGGGAGATCGTGGATCCTACGAGAGCTTCCTCAAAGGAGCCGAGCCGAAACCTGGCCAGCGTGTGGTCTACGTCGACGGCGGCTTCGACCTCTTCTCCAGCGGCCACATTGCCTTTCTGTGCAAGGTGTTGGAAGAGGAAGACAAGCTTGCGCGGGAGGCGGGCTGGTTCTCCGAAGAGGCTACGGAGAAGAGGAAGAGCGTCAACGGCGGAAAGGACTACGGCCCGGCATACGTGGTGGCGGGAGTTCACGAGGACAGAGTCATCAACGAGTGGAAGGGGGTAAACTACCCCATCATGAACATTTACGAGCGCGGACTCTGCGTTCTCCAATGCAAGGTAAGCCTTTGGCTCCATCATCATCACTCCTGCAGCCGGCACTAAGCACCGACGCCTTTGTTGTAGTATATCAACGCCGCCGTGTTCGGAGCTCCGTTTACGCCGACCAAGAGCTATCTCACCGATATGCCGTGGGGAGGCATCCCCGACGCGGTCTACCACGGTCCGACGGCGTTTATGCCCCTGACTTATGATCCGTACACGGCGCCAAAGGAGATGGGCATCTATCGACAGATTGGCGAGCACACCTTTTCGCACGTCAACGCGGGAGAGATTGTGCAGCGAATCATGAAGAGTCGCGACATGTACGAGGCGCGACAGCGGGCCAAGGGCGTCAAGGCCGAGGTGGAAGCGGCGGCGAGGGCTCGAGAGCTGATGGAGGAGGAGCAGCGCAAAAAGGAGGCGGCGAGGGGCGTCATGTCAAGCTGAGAGGAGCCATGTTTTTCTTTGCCTGAAGCACGAAAGCAGGCGATGGGATGTGATATTTGCTGGTTTTTGGAGTTTTTGGATAACTGACAGACAGAGTCTTCAACAGGCCGCGGAGAGACCCAAAAGTAGAGGACACACAGAGAAGATAAAAGTACCTGGCCTAATAGAGTTGAGTTTGCATCATGAACTGTTGTTTTTCTTACTACATGCGGAGTACAGCTCGTCGAATTGGGGTAACACAGAGAACCAGCTGGGGGAGCTTCGATGCGAAGTACCGAGTACAGTAAGGGGGAAAGCTGAAGCAGATGGAACGAACGGATGGCGCTTGATACCTGTTTCGTGGTTGGCCTTTGCATCGCCATGGCTTCCGACCGCCGTGCTTATGCCCTTTCGCCCCGTGCGTACGATGACATGCCGTGCTCGTTGTGTTCGATGCGATGGATGATCTCATAGCCAACCTAATTGTCGTACCAACACAAGGGAGGTTGCGTAACTGGCTGGCCAAGGGCGACGGCTATCGACGGCGCAACTGGGCCCTCCAGGGGCGGCAGACAAATTCCGCTTGGCTTTGGTGGGGAATTGAGGGATTGGACGCAACGTTTAATGCGCTGCCGGATCGGAGCTGCTGATAAGAGGAGGAAAAAAACAACAACAGCAAGGAGGGAGCGTACTCGTATTGCTGAGAAAGCAATTAGTAGTAGGAAGTGTCATGGGATGTTGTTGTTGTGTTACGCAATCGATCTGGATCTGGTAATTGGAACGTTTCTTCTTTTTCCCTTTCTCCATTGATAATGATCATGATAATGCAATGCGACTTTCGAGACAGGCGCGCCCTTTCCCCCGCATTCTTGTCAAAAAAAAAAAAGACAAACCGGGCTTCTCGGATCGGAGAGATTCGTATCTCTGTCTGTTGTGTTTGATAGATTATCCGTCTTGCACAATGTATGCACGAGTACCTCGATGCTGAGATTACAGTCAAAATCGCTGCCTTCCAAAGCTCCCTCTTCTGGATGGGCCGCGAAAGCGGGGCGGAGCATTTCCGCACGCCGGAACGTGGAGTCGGACCCTTCGGTATCGGCGGCTGGTCTCCGCTCTGACGGGTTTGCGTACTCGTCTGTGCTGAGGGATTGTGATTGTTTCAACCGGTGCGTATTGCAATCGGTCAGCAATACGCTGCCATTGGCATCAATTGAAGGCACCGTAAGCAATTCCAACCATCCGTAAAATCTACCTGTAATTTTTAAAATTACGTACGAAATCGGCGACAAAACCAATAGCCAACGGGACGATACACTACAAAGGGCTTCACCGGGCTCGGCACAGGGCGCGGGCAGACACGGTTAAGCTGCTGTTGCGAAACAAACAAGCTTCGGCCGCCGAACTGGTCACCTGCCCTCCTTTGCCCAGCCAACCGAATCCGCCATCCCTTTTTCCCCAGCACTTTTTCAGCGGTCCGTGTTTGTATCTCTTTTTTTTGTTTGTTTTATTTCCGTTGGGCTGGCTGGCGTCTTGGTTTACTGCGGTGTTGGCTGGCTTACTGTACTTTGGGCGGGACAGCCTCAGTGCAACACTCCTCCTGCTTATAGCGCCCGAGGTGCTGTAGCACAGCATCCATATATTAGTAGCCCGATGAAAGAGCAACGCATCAGTAATAGCACCCGACCAAATAGTAAGCTGCAAGTGTCAGAGCCTCCAACAGCCGAATCCAGCTCCCCAGCTCCGCTACTAACTAGACGCCTAGATGAAAATCAATTTTTTTTCCTTCTCTTTTTTTTTTTCTCTCCGGCCCTAGTAAACTCCCTATCGCGCTGCCGTTTGCCTCCCTCGGTTCCATTTCTTCTAGCGCCGCTGCTTGTGCTGTGCGAGTGACATGGGAGCGACCCAAGAGTGACCCCACTCTACGCCGTGTGCCGAGTCGCTCCTTGAGTAGCCGCTGTCCAACGTCGAGGTACTTCCCTGCTGGAGTTCGTCCGCCGCGTTTTTTTTTGTGGTCCCCCGGCGGGATAAGAACCTTTTTTTTCCTATTTTAAACAGCCCGTTCTGTTGGCCCTCTTTGACTTGGGGGTGAGACAAGTACATCTGAGACAAATCTCTTTGTATACCTACCTATGAATCTGCCCTTTTCATCTTCGTAATATTGACGCACTACTCCGTACGGCTCATCTAAGATTCTCACTCTTCTTAAAGAAGCTTCTTCACTGCCAGAGACGTAACCAAATCTCTTGGAAACCCCAAATTGAGCCAGCCAGACAAAGACCCAGTCACGAACCAAACGTGGAGTATCTTCTCTCCAATCGCCTCCTATCGTCTCCAACTTTGGCGTCAGATAGTACATAGAGCCGCCAATTTTTTTTTTGTTCCTCTTTTGAGTCATTCTCCATTCGAACGTTTGACCCGCCATCGGAGCCTTGTCTTGCCGAGTGTCCTCTTAACTCCCGGGCCTCCCTTCTAAACTTTTAATCTTCCACCTCAACTTCTTCTTCTTCTCTTCTTCTTCTTCTCTTCTTCTTCTCTTCTTCTTCTTCTTCTTCTTCTTTTCTTTACCGAAAAGGACTCCAACCATTATCCTCTCACATCTCCAACATCCTCATCCATCACAATGGCTCCCTCTGCTACTATCCCAACCCAGGACGTCGACCTGACCGCCGCCAACATCCAGGTCAAGGAGGCCACTCAGCCCGTCAAGCCCAGCAATGGCTCCTCTCCTGCTCCCCTCGACGCCTCCAAGCTCACCTACACCTACACCAAGAACCCTCAGCCCGTGCTGGATGATGACACTGCCAACTCCCTTACCACCACCATCTGCACCGACCACATGGTCACCGTTAACTGGAATGCTTCCGAGGGCTGGGCCACTCCCGAGCTCAAGCCCTACGGTCCCCTGAGCCTCATGCCCACTGCTTCGGTCCTCCACTATGCCACCGAGTGCTTCGAGGGCCTCAAGGCCTTCCGCGGTTACGACGGAAAGCTGCGCGTCTTCCGTCCCGACTGCAACTGTGCCCGTATGCACCTGTCTGCCGGCCGCATCTCCCTGCCTCTGTTTGAGCCCGCCGAGCTGCAGAAGCTCATCATTGCCCTGCTGTCCGTCGACGGTCCCCGCTGGCTGCCCCGCGACCAGCCCGGCCGCTACCTGTACATCCGTCCCACTCTGATCGGAACCCAGTCCCAGCTCGGTGTCCAGGCTCCTCGCGAGGCCATGCTGTACATCATCGTCACCTACATGCCCAAGCTCGACAGCCCCCCCGGTGGCATGCGCCTGCACACCTCCCCCGAGGACATGGTCCGCGCTTGGGTCGGCGGCTTTGGTTATGCCAAGGTCGGTGCCAACTACGGCCCTAGTCTGGCTGCCACCGCCGAGGCCCGTAGCCGCGGCTACCACCAGATCCTGTGGCTGTATGGCAAGGACAACGAGTGTACCGAGGCCGGCGCCAGCAACTTCTTCGTTCTCTGGAAGCGCAAGGACGGCAAGAAGGAGCTCATCACTGCTCCTCTGGACGACAAGCTGATCCTGGACGGAGTGACTCGCCGAAGCATCCTGGAGTTGGCTCGCGAGCGCCTGAGTGACGAGCTGGAGATTACTGAGCGCAAGTACACCATTGACGAGGTCATTGAGGCTGACGCCGAGGGACGCCTGATTGAGTCCTTTGCTGCTGGAACTGCCGTAAGTGCTGATTCTATAATCCCACCACAAGAGTGTAGACAAACTGAAGCTGACTTGTTATTTTAGTACTTTGTGTGCCCCATCTCGGCCATCCACCACCGCGGCAAGGACATCAGCATCCCCATGGGCCCCAAGAACCAGCCCAACGTCTACACCTCCAAGCTCAAGAATTGGATCGGTGACATTATGTATGGAAACGTCAACCACAAGTGGGGTGTCGTGATCCCTGAGAAGGAGTAAACATCGACGACGACGACAAGGAGAAGCGATGACGTTGACGAGCATGAATTTTTGATTCGACAATTTCTACTATTATTTGTTTCGCACGGAAAATCTAGGACCGTGTTTCTTTTGTTTCATGTATAGGGGGACCGGCGTTCAATGGCGAATGGGAGCATGTAGCGACATTGCTGTAGTCCCAACAAAAGGGGCAGCAAAGCGGCGGGGTGATTTGAAGCGCCGACTGGGGGAAATAGATACATACAGGTGTAGCTCCATGAGAAAAATAGACAATATTTGCTCAGTTGCCAATGATTGACAAATGAGGATTAATCAGCCCGCATGGCTTGCATCATTCTCATTGTGAGAGCTTGGATACCCTCCTTATACCCCTGTGGTATGAGTTAGTGATTGTGGGTTCTTGAAACGCTCTGGAGTCCGAAGCTACTGACCTCCTCTATTTCCTCCAGTTCTTGAGCAGTCTCCGAAAGCAGCCGTTCAATCTCTTGCTTGAAGCCAGCCTTTTTGAGATCATCCTCGTCGTTGTAGCCATGTTCTCTGCTCTGTGCTGGATTCCCTTCCAGGTTGAGCAGCTCCTGGCGTAATTTCCGTTCCGACTGGACATTCTCTTGCCATTCCCGCTCTAATCCTTGCAACTCTCTTTCGGCCTTTATGAGGTCCTCTTTGACGTTTGCCAGATGGACCTCAATGGTGGCTCGAGGGAAATTCTTTGAGTGGCAGAGGGTTGTCGAAAGTGGATATGACAAGTTTGCATACAACTCATCCATGTCCGCTGCCATAGTGGACGACATGGTGGCAAAGTCGGATATTTGAGAGGCCATCTCCTGTCGAGCTTCGGCTAGTTTGCTGACGACCGAAGTGTACAACTCCACGCCCTCTTGGGCAAAAGCCTCTGTGAATGGACACGCTTAGTTGACGAAATAGAGAGACTCAAAGCTTCCAAGCGTGGAGCTAATGAACTGATGACATACCTCTCAAGTGCTCCAATGCATCTCCCGTGGCAGCTTTCTCCTCGTGCGCCTTGCTTTTTGCCGAATCATTGCTGAAATTGGCGAAACACGCGCGAAACAAATCGTTTGGACGAAGCTGCTCTTCTCGAGACGAGGACGAGAAGTACGGGGCTTTGGAGGCAGAGAAAAGCCCGGGACTGCTTATGTGGGCGAAGAGTGTCGACGACGAAAGATCTTCTCCGGAGAGAACTTGGCTGGCTGGAGGTTCCTCTTGGGGGAAGAGGCGGTTCAGGAGAGACGATTTGTTGGGATGCGCCATGACTGGGAAAATTGTGGTAGCAGTTGGAAGGACGGAATAGAAGAGTTATGATGAGATGAACAAAAGAAAAGAAATAGAAAAAAAGAATTGTGCGATGGTGGAAAAAGTGAATTGCAAAGAAGCGAGGGCCAGGTATGCTGGGAAGGAAGGAACTCCCAGGGTCAACCCTCAGGCAGACTCGCTGGTACAAAGTGCATGTACCGATGGCAGATATTTTTGATCCTTCAGTCAACACCATACAGACAGCGGCAGCACAAACTGCAACTCTTTTGCTGCTCGGAGAAATCATTCGCTGCGAGATGTCCATGGCGAAGCAGAGATGGTCAATATAGAGGCAAGAATTCCTTGAGCCTCTCGAATGATTCGGTTGCCCCTCCTTATTCTTCATCTCGACTCTCTTTTGCTGCCAATCCAAGCTTGTCCTCGATCGCGGCCACAATCGTCTCCCACGTCGCCATCGCTCCCTGACCAACATCGCCACAGGCAAGCCCCTTTGAGATGGTCTGCAGCTCTTCGACCCATCCATCGGCGCCGCCCATGAGCTCGTTGAGCAGCTTCAGGTTGCGCTGCGTGATGGGGTTTCGAAACATGGCCGTGTTCATGGCTGTGGCGACGAGAATCTTCTTCTTCCTCCCGTCTACGAAACCATCTGTGTCCCAGGCTAGGATGGTGGAGGATAGCAGAGAGTCGCTGATGCCGTGGATCATCTTGGCGAGAGTGTTTGCGCTGAGCGGAGCGACGACTGGAGGTGCATCATTGTTAGTATATGTCTTGCGGCATCTTTATATGAGGTAGATGGCCGGGAAGCAACATGCCTAGTAGATCAGCCCCTGTGTAGAGGAAACATCAAACGGTTAGCAGCTTGATTCGCAATGTGAGAAACTGTTGAGTGACTTGCATTTTCTGAGCTCAATGTGCAGAATCGGAGCCCCTCGAGTCCACGGCTGCACCCATTCAGACTCATCCGTGTATATCGCGTCGACATTGGGATAGTTGCCAATGTCTGCGAGGCTTGGCTGCTCTTCCGCCTGGCCTTGGAGGAACTGAGCCGCAGAGCTGGTGAGCACGAGCCGGATGGACAAGTTGGGATGCCGTGACAGGCCCTTGATGATGTTGGGGATCTTGATGGTCGCTACAGATCCGGATGCAGCGAGAAGGAGGTGCACTTTGCCATCGCTGCGAGCTTGTGTAACCTCTTGCGCCGGGTTATTGGACATGGTGAATGCTTCAAGATGGACAAACTGAGGGAGAGGTGAGATGTAGAGAGAGAGGTAGGTGAGATGCCTCTGCAATGAGTTGTTTAGCTTGCGACAGTCGACAGAATATCTTCTTCCAAAACTATGCGAGAATTCTCAATAAAGAGCCGCAATCTCTCTCTCTCCTTGTGGCAACAAACAAACAAACGGCTCAGAGCTGCATTAACACTGGCATGCGAGTTTAAGTGGTGAGATTTGTCACCGAGCCGATCTGCGGATTACCTGATCGGTGATTGGTCAGCCCCAGCAATTGCATCACCCCTCCAGAAATTCGGCTCAAGCCATCACCGGCTCACTTTTTTTTCTTCTCGGCCCAGACTGGAGGTTTTACGTTGTCATTTGCAAGCAAGTCACATTCACAGTCATGTTCTCACGATCACTCGCCCCTGTAAGTTTCCTTTCAATCCATTCATGATATCCATATGAAAGCAGTCTGCTGACATTGATGCGCTGCTACAGCGCTTCCTGCGGCAAGCTGCCCGCCCAGCAGCAGCAGCTCGAGCTCCCCTGTCGGCCTTTCGCGCGCCCGCCGCCCCTCTGACGCCCTTTCAGATCCGTCTGCTCTCCGACACGACGCGCACCGCCATCGACAAGGCCATCGCCTCGGCGCCCGTCGTGCTCTTCATGAAGGGCACGCCCGAGACGCCCCAGTGCGGCTTCTCGCGCGCCGTCATCCAGATCCTCGGCATCCAGGGCGTCAGCCCCGAAAAGTTCGCCGCCTTCAACGTGCTCGAGGACCCGGAGCTGCGGGCGGGCATCAAGGAGTACTCGGACTGGCCGACCATTCCGCAGCTGTACGTCGACAAGCAGTTTGTGGGCGGGTGCGACATTCTGGTGTCCATGCACCAGAACGGCGATTTGCAGAAGCTGTTTGAGGAGAACAAGGTCTTGGTCGAGGGAGAGGAGGGGGAGAAGAAGGAGTAGAAGAAGGAGTGCAAAAGAAAAGAGACGGTCGATATACGAAAACAAGTGTACGATATACGATGGATGGCGTTTGTATGAAAGAAGGCCTAGTAAATTACACATGATGCAATGACACACGACACTTTGTATGTTGCAGTTTCAACGGGGGTTGGCGTTATCCGTCCTCTATTTTCTGTCTACATCCTGCTTGCTTTACAATGGGTATGCTGCTCCATCTGCTCTCATGTCACTGCCTGCCGACCAGATGGGCGTCTTGTCGACAGGATCAAGCGTGTATCGAATGATCTGGCCTCGTCCAAACAGGCCTCTCTTCGGCCCACCGCCAACAACAACCACGTTGTGGCCCAGCTGCCTCAAGCCCTCAATCACTTCGGGGTTCATCGACTCCTCCACGTTCACCGTCCAGTCGACCGGCTTACCGTGCTCTGGGAATCCCGCGCCGACGCATATCCGGGGCGCATCGAGTGCCTGCTGGGGGTTCAACTTTCCGACGACCTGGCCGAGGAGGACTTGCACGTGGCCCTGAGGCTGCATGAAGCCGCCCATGACGCCGAAAGAGGAGTGAAGCGAGCCGTCCTTGATGTTGGTGGCCATGGCGGGGATGATGGTGTGGTAAGGGCGCTTGCGAGGCTCCAGCTTGTTGGGGTGCTCGGCGTCGAGAGAGAAGCCCGCGCCTCGGTTCTGGAGGGTGAAGCCGCAGCCCTTGGGGATGATGCAGGTGCCGAAGCCGCCGTAGTTGGAGTTGATGAAGGAGGCGGCGTTTCCTTGCGAGTCAGAGACGGTGAAGTAGACGGTGTCGCTGCTCTGGAGGGCGGGCGAGGAGTAGTTTGGCTCGCCGTGCTCGACGAGGTCCAGGGCGCGGGAGGAGTTGAAGAGAGAGGCTCGCTGGAAGAGGTACTTTTCAGAAAGGAGGCCCTCGATGGGCACGGGAGTGACGTTGGGGTCGGCAATGTACCAGTTGCCGTCGGAAAAGGACAGGCGGAGGGCCTCGATGATGGCGTGGAGGTACGGCGTGGTGTTGAAGTCCTCGGGCTTGAACGTGGGGATCTCGCCCTGCTTCTCGAGCTCCTGGATGATGCCCAGGGCCATCAGGGCAATGATTCCCTGGCCGTTGGGAGGGTGCTCCCACAGCTCGATGCCCTCGTCGGACGCCCGGCTGGTGAGGCCCTGGCCGCGGAATTTGAGGGAAATGGGGTCGACGGGCTCGCTGCCCTGCTCGAGGTGGTGCTTTAGATCATCCAGAGTCAAGCGGCCGCCTAGATCCTGGACGACCTTGACGAGCTCTTGGGCTATTCTTCCCGTGTAGAAGCCTTGCTTTCCTTCTTCGGCCAGGGTGCGGAATGTCCTGGCCAGGTTGGGGTTCTTCATGATTTCGCCTGGCCGAGGGGCTCTGACGCCGTCTGCTTGGCTGGGATCGACCTTGAGCATCTCTGCGTAGTTTGGAGAGGCCTTTCGAATAAGATGCTCTGCACTTGTCCACTTTTTGTGACAACTCTTCAGTCAGAACACATACAATGCAATACTCTAACTGAATGGCCTTCGGAAACGTACGTAGTATCCAGTGACTTCTGACACGGGGAATCCCCTTTCGCCCAGCTGGATCGCCGGGTTCAGGATCTGGCTCAGATCCAGATTTCCGCTGCCAAACCGCTCGACCGTGTCGGCCCATCCGGCTGCAGCTCCAGGAACCGTCACCGCATGGACGCTCGCCATGGGAATCTGCCCCGTGACGCCGTCCTCGATCTTGAGGTCGCTTCGGATCTGCTCGAGGGTGCAGTTTGCGCCTGAGCGGCCGGAGCCGTTCATGGCAAACACTTGCTGCTTGGAGGCATCCCAGTAGAGGATGAACATGTCGCCTCCGATGCCTGTTGAGCAGGGCTCGGTCATGTTGAGACCGGCAGCTATGTAGATTGACGAGCAAAGTTAGCTGAGCGCATGTGTAAATGAGAAATCGCAAACCGCATGCAGTAAGTAAAGATGTACGCACCAACTGCTACGGCGGCATCCTACCATCATAGCCGTTAGTAAATGGTCAATAGAAATGAATTGCACCTCACTCACAGCGGCGTTTCCTCCTGCGCGCAGTATTTCGAGGCCGCATTTCGCTGCGAGAGGCTGTGAGCATGCGACAATTCCCTCAGTGCTGTGGACGACGCTTCGGCGCGAGGGAAATTTGAACATGTCATAGGTGGGATCCTCGAACACGGAGGAGCTTTCGAGAGGCATTGCGGCGGTGATTTTGGTCCAAATACGCTGTTGTTTGTCTCTGCGCGGCTTGTGTAAAAGCGTCGTTGGAGGAGAGGCACGAGTGAACGTGTACGCGTATGGGGAAGCCAGCTTTGCGAATAACAAAGACTCACGGAGAAATTATCTGTAGAGTTCAGTCAAGCCCCTGCAAGGAACAAAGATTCCTTGCATCAGCCTCGTCTATCCGGGCTCGGCTTAATTCGCTGCGGTCTCGCCATCCTATCAATCGCCCGCAAATAGCATCATGGAGGGGTTCGTTGTGCAACCGGAGCGCGGGGAAAGATAAACAGGACTCTGAACGGTTCGATTCGCTCCGCCCGCTAAGATGATAATACTATGGGTCTGAACGGAGAGTCTGAAAAGGGCAAGGGATGGAGGAGGCGAGTTATTTCCGAGAGGGCGCCGTTGTGCAAGAGGCTGCGAGTTTACAAGTGTTTCGGGTGAAAGTTGGAGCGACTGGTGAGTCTAGACGTTGTATATAACGGTGATATACACAATACCTTATATATACCTCAATATATTACATATAACATTAGGAGACACTTCATGCTTGATTGTACACCGTGTGTATAACCCATCGAATCATGCCCTGACTTACAAGTACAACAGCAATCAAGTCACAGACGGGAGAAGCCGCACGAATTGGTGTCGCAAAACATCGACTTTGACCCCGATCCATGTACCCGTTCTCGATTTACACCTTGATACTGAGATGAACGGAAAACCACATACAACCCAAATCCACAAAAAAGCAAACAAATAAACAAATAAACAAAAGTATACAACAACCGGCCGTCTCATACAACTCTCACAGCCGCGATCGTCGACTCGCCCGCTCTAAATCTCGCAGTACATCGTCCACAGTGCCAACCGCTTCCAATGCCATGCCATATCCAGCTTGATACCCAGTGCCTCCAGCGCCGTAGTTGTGCACAAGAACTTTCTTCTTGCCGTCAACGACAATCTCTTCTCTCTCAATGCGTGCGCCGCCTTCGCGGGATGGTCGTAGGCCCGCAAACGAGGCAATCATCTCAAACGGCTGCAGCTCGGGGCATAGCTTGAGGCAGCGGTTGACGATGGACTCTGTCTCGTAAGAATACGTCGATCCGTCACTGCAATCGTGTTAGGATGATCAATCTGATTGTAGTTTAGCACAGTAAAATGAGATCAACTTACCTCGAGCCCTTTTGCATGTATCCCCCCAGAATGACATGGCCATCCGTGCCAGGTCGCGGAATCACATACGTCTCATAGTCCCTCCCATGGCGCATAATGTTTCGCTTCACGCGCGGTGCCTTTACAAGGACAATCTGGCCTCTAGTCGGGTAACACTTGGCGTCCTCCACCCCAGGCAGCGTCTTTGCTGAGAGGCCGGTGCAGTTGATGACAACCCTCGTGGTTGGACTGGAGTATGCGGCTTGAATGGTTGGAAACCTCTGCCTCACAAAGTGGACGCCATATTGGTCCCTCAGCCTGTGGAAGAGATACTCAATGTGCTTGGGGGCGTTGAGAGTCAGGGTGGTAAAGGAGATGCCGAATCTGACGCCGGCGGGAAGCTCGTGGCTTGGAATCTCTTGAAACTGCAGCTGGATGAGCGGAGCTGCCGAGAGAGATGTAAAATGGATAAAAAGACAACAACTTACGTCTTCAAGATATTCGGAAATGGCCTTGATCTTGTCGTGGGGCACGTGCTCATCCCAGTACTCTATCGAGTCTGTTCGGCGGATATACGCCTCATCCCCGTGCTCAGAGGCGAGCTTGATGAGATGAGCGTAACCCAGGCGGTCCCATTTGAGAGCATTTGCATCAGTGCCTGAGATGCCGGAAAAGTTGCATCCAGCCCTACAGGTGCCCAGTCAGGTCAGTCAAACGTGAGCTCGTGTACATGTTCCCGTGTGCATGTGTCTGGATACATGCTAAACACATATAGGCAGCATCATGCGGGACAACAACTCAAAGCAAACAAGGGCAGCCACTCACCAAGGCGACGTATAGCTTGCAGACGTATCTCCGGGCAGATGCTCTGCGATGATGGTGATGAAGGGTCCCAGCCCCCGCTCAGCCAGCACGAGAGCAACGTCCAGGCCGATGATGCCCGCGCTAGAAACAATGAAAACACAACACAGTGAGCCAGTTACTCATACAAGATACAGCAGAAAAGAAGGGCTGTGAGAGCCTCGAGGGGACGGCGGAGTCTCACCCGACGATGACAATTGCGTCGCCCGCTGCGCCTGGTGCCGTGCTGACGCGTTGGTTGTTGTTCTGGTGCATGCCGACGATTCGCCTGGCGATGCTTCTCGACGGCCAAAGGAACAGGAATTGGCGATAGAAGGTTCCCAGTTGTTGATGCCGCTCGCTCCGCCCAGTATCGAATCAGATGGGCCGGCACGGTTGGGGGATGTGCGGATAAGGGAAGGGAGCCTCGGTTCAATGAGGCGCCTCAGCGGTTATTGGGCGATACACGAGCCAAGCTTCTCCCTTCGTGTGGCGTGGTTTATGTGTGCATTATTTGCTTTTTCTGAGGGGACTTGCAGGGTTTGTGTCTGCATTACGGGTATTGGAGATGGCTGGGGAACGGGGCAATTTCTGCATAGTGTGTGCATTATATCGGGGCTGTTTGGACCCCATGTAGGCCGGTGTTGCTGTGACCCCAGATCTGGCCGTGGCTGGAGACTTTCCGTGTGGCTTCGCATTTTCGATGTGTCTGATTGAATAGAGATGAGCGAGATGGCGCCGGCTGATGGTGACATCTTTCTTGCGTAGTGAAAGCCGTCAAGTTGGTGTATCTATTACACAGCTGTGGTTGCATTTTTGGAGAATGGGATCGGATGCCTGATGGGGGCGATGCAACGTCTGGGTGAGTCTAGAACGGTATGAGAGAGGGGTTTCGCCTTGTGTTGCACACCCAATTATAAACAAATCGATAAATCCATGATCGGAGTTGACGATGCCCGGCTTGGTGTTTCCATACCCGTATCCGAGATTCCGAGTTGTTGATTCCATACGAGTGCTCCGCAAACTTCACTACTTCAAATGTCCACTTCTTTAATAGCACCTTCGGGGTCTAGTCTAACGTCTAGCTGCGGCACGATGACCGCTATTCATAGTCGCGAATCGGTGAATGTGTCCATCAAGAGACTCAGTAGCCACTCACCTACTCTACAAAGACGTCTGCTTGCCAGCCAACTCCTCTTACTTCATATTTAGTAATCGAGATAAGGAAGGATGCAATTCGCACAACTTTTACGTACAGTGTAACCACCAATGAACGACAAGACGCAGCACCGACATCTTATTCGGGCTAGCACAGCCGCCGTGGGAGCAGCTGAGCCAGATCCTGTAGCAATTCCTCACCTTGCATATGGACCCATCTGGCTAATACTACCTGGAATGCTCGATCCATTATCACTTTGCAGATCTAGCCAAGGACACTCTGTTGCTGGGCATCGACAGCCAAACCGTGGTGAGCTGAGCTTGGCTAGTTGCAGAACAAGATGCATGATAAGGACGAAAACCTATGGCCAAATCCCACACCTACTTCCTCATTCGGCAACTGAATGCAGCTGAATAGTCCAAACTCTGTCCTTTCCACGCTGCCGTGCTCGCGATAATTCAACTCAGAGGCCAACCACGACCAGCAGTCACGATAGCAGGGGTCACCGAGTGCATCATCGAATGCATGCAAATGGCCCGAATTAGTCTTCAAGCAGCAAGGCTGGTGTAACCCCTTGCTTCGAAGCCTAACTTTGAGGCCATCGCTGGTGGAGCCTCAGAAGAGTTGAGATATGGGGGCCATAATATGGCGCGAGCTCTCGTACCCTTGGGGATAGAGTATTTAATGGGCTCCTTGTCTCTACAAAAGTCTTTCCATGCCATAAAGACAGAAATTTGGTAGTATCATATCTGAAAATGGCAGAGACGTGGGTTCAATCAACAGCTCGAAGCTTGGTCTACCAGGCTTTGAAGCGTATCCATCGAGGACGGTTGACAATCAACACGAAATACGCCAGCGACAACAACGAAAGCGCCTCATTTGGGAGCAGCTCTGAATCAGATCCAGACGTTGTCGTTATCATCAAGAACCCTCAAGTTTTCGTTCGACTATGTCAAGCGTTCGACCTGGTAGGAATGCATAGACGATAGCTCACCGCCATCGAAGCAAATACTGACATCTTCGCAGGGGCTGTCAGAGTCATACCTTGTCCAAGATGTAGAGTGCGATAACCTTGTCGAACTATTTTCAGTGAGTCCATCTTCCAATTACGCATTCCATAACGAAAAGAAACACTTGAAAACTCATACATCATTCTCTGCAGCTCTATGTCAAAAACAAAGACGCTCTTGGCGCCTCAGCTGGTAACCTCCTATATACACTTATACCACGCGCGGCACACTATCTCATCCCGACCAATGACAACACAACCGCTCTCAAAAATGCGTCGTTTCACTACGATACTTCCAACGATCACTTTGCCAACTTTCTCTCTCCCGATATGAACTACAGTTCTGCCATCTGGTCAGGAGAAAAGGGCGAATCGCTAGAGTCCGCTCAGCATCGGAAAATACAGACCATCCTCGACAAAGCCGAAATATCTTCCACTGACCACATCCTCGACATCGGATGTGGTTGGGGTAACTTGGCCATCACAGCAGTCCGGCAGACTGGATGCCGAGTAACTGGACTCACACTTTCCAAAGAGCAAAAGGCACTTGCAGAGGAGAGGATCAAGGCTGCAGGCTTTGAAGACAAGATTACTATTCTGCTGTGTGACTACCGCAAGGCTCCCGTACCAGAGGGCGGATATGACCGCATCATCTCCATTGAAATGTTGGAGCACGTGGGAGACAAGTATATGAACCAGTATTTTCAACAGATTTCTGCCCTTTTAAAACCAAAAGGTGGAAGAATGGTCGTCCAAGGCATTACCAGAATTAACTCGGTTAGTCTATATCTCATCGTTTGTCGGGTTATAATACTGACTCGGATAGTTCTCTACCACTGGCGACACGGTTGACTGCTTTCTGGAGCGCTACATCTTCCCAGGAGGATACCTGCCAACCATAAACCAGCTCATGACATCAATACACAATGGCTCCGGTGGTGCCCTGGAAGTAGAGACTGTTCAGAGCATTGGTCCTCATTACATTCGCACCCTGCAGTGTTGGAAAGAGAACTTTGACGAGAATTGGGACACCATCAGACAAGACTATGTGTCCAAGAATCCTGATGCCACAGATTTGATGATTGAAGCCTATCGGCGAACGTGGGTGGTATGTGAACTTTATTGTTGCATGTTTCTTTTCTGAATTATTCAGTTGCTGACTTCTATTATTTTAGTACTACTTCCAGTATTGCGAGGCTGGATTTAGGACGCGTATTCTGGGAGATTATATTATCTCTGCTACCCGAACCCCTTGGCCAGAAATCCCATCCAATGTCCCACACTAACGTGCTTATATATGAGGATATTACGGGTTTAGATATTAGCGTTTCCAAGGTAGAAGTGTCTATATACGTGAGCTGGCTGCCGTTTTAGCGAGATAGGAAATGATTCAAATGATACAACCTTTTGCAATGTAAATTCGGTTGCTTATCAATGTTGCGGTATCGAAGAGATGGGTGTAATCACTTTGTAACTCAGGGAGTGGCCATTGAGTACCCTAGATTGGCTATTCGACTCCCCAGAGAATACATGGGTATAAAAGTCAACTATCGTAAAGGAATGTAGAGGAGATAGTATGAGATGCCTTAGTACGAACTCAACTCCGAGTAGTAGGTAGGAGTATGCTACCAACTAAGTGTCTCGTCCTTCTACCTACCACTATAGCTACATCTCTCTTATATCTGATGCTATCACTACCAACTAGCTTTATAGTAGAGACACGGGTGATGGATTGCCGCTCTCATGATTCACCAACCTCCCGGGTAATCTGACGACGGGATTCATCTGAAGGGCCCGCACAACGATTCAGGCCATTTAATTTCGAATAATAGGGCCGGATCTGGCAAAATACTCAATCTATTTATTGCCCTTGATCTGCGAACATGTGAAACACGAGAACTCTGTGCGCCCGCATGTGCGGAAGCTATCATTGCGATTCCATCAACGTTACTTCAGACCAGATGGAACGGCAGATTGTGGAGACTGTGCATAAAGACATGATCCTTCAAGAAATCCCAAATTGGTTATTCCAACGACCTAGCGAAACATACGAAGAGGACAATAATACATCAATGGCTTGTTTTCAGAGGTAAATTGGTATATACATGTACTGACTCGCAGCCGAGGCGGCCATGTTATATGTGCTCGTTGAATCATATGTGTCGAGTTCAGACAAACAGCCAGTCAAAACCCATCAAACCGCCACAGTCAATCACTTTCGCCGTCCATGGCCCCAGTGTTCCAATGCCAAGTGGTGCTTTAACAATTTTTTTACGCCTGAGCCATTCGGCTTTAAACGGAGGCTCGGGTCGCAGTTATCAGATCCGGCTTCGGCTCTAATCGCTTCCCCACGTTCTCCATACGGGAGTTTTGCTATGAGTGACATTCCAGGATCGGCCGATGCAGACGCACAAGTTGACTACAACGTCTTTGCATGCTTCTTTGCGTTGGCCTCAGGTCTGGAAAATGGGCGAACTACACGCTTCTCGAGATTTCGTCGTGTTGCTCAACGGCAAGGTGTACCAGTCTCCGGAGACTGATGCGGCGGACGCTGGCCCTTCCTTTGCGGAGTGTATGATCATACGAGACGGCATCATTCAGTATGTTGGCTCTGAAGCAGACGCGGAGGTAGAAGCTGCTAAAGCTGCCGGCGCGACGGTCAAAGATCTCGGCAGTCAGACCGTGCTTCCTGGATTCATCGATGGTCACCTGCATCTTCTGCTGCTTGGACAGTCTCTCGTCAAAGTTGGCTTGGAGGCCTGCAAGAGCTTGGAGGATATTCGGGCTGAGATCAAGCGATATGCCGAAACTCATCCGGATGTGCCTCGTATCTTTTGCCGTGGCTGGATGCACTCTATGACTCCTGACGGCGTCGACTCGACTCTACTGGACGACTTGGATCCTAGGCCCATCTTCGTTGATACCAAAGACTTGCATTCAACATGGTGCAACACGGCAGGGCTCGAGGAGGTTCTCCGTGTTATGAATATTCCGGATGACGCTCCAGATCCTGTGGGTGGAACTTTTCAGCGAGGAAAGAACGGCAAACTCAACGGCGTCTTCAACGAGAGCGCCGTGTTCGAATACATCTGGCCCTTTACAGCTAGGGTCGCGTCTATCAAACAGCGGAAAGAGTCCATCAAGGCGGCTATCAAGGCTTTCAACTCTGTTGGATATACCGGAATGGTCGACATGGCTATGGACGAGACTATCTGGGAGCCTCTGATTGCGCTGCGGAATGAAGAAGGCCTCGGAGGCATGCGAATTGCTGCGTATTGGCTCATGAAACCCAGCGATTCTCTCGAGGGTGTGATTCCTCAGCTTGAACGCGCCATTGAACTGGCTGGACAATACAACTCTCGCAATACACCCGACTGTCGCATTGTCGGCGTCAAGGTCATCTGTGATGGAATCATTGATGCCTGCACGGCTTCACTGACGGACCCGTATTCGACGGGAATAACTCCCGATCCTATCTGGCCAGAGGAGTTTCTAAACACCATTGTGTCCAAGGCTCATGCTGCAGGGCTTCAGGTTGCGCTGCATGCCATTGGCAACAGGACGATTCGCATGGCGATTGATGTTTTGGAGAAGAACACGGACCGCTCGAGGCGTCCTCGCATTGAGCACATCGAGCTGTCCAATGCGGAAGATGCCGTGCGTCTAGGAAAGCTGGGCATCACGGCGTCTATTCAGCCAGTGCATTCGGATCCTGCCATCCTACGAGCCTGGCCGAGACTCATCGGAGATCACCGATGCAAGAGGGCTTTTGCCTACCGCGAGTTTGCAGATGGAGGCGCACCCTTAGCTCTCGGCTCTGACGCGCCCACGGCCCCTCATTTTCCCATCCCAAACATGTATGTGGCGACGACGAGGAGATCGTACCGCGAGCCTGACTTGGAGACTGTTGTGAACCCGGAGTTTGCCCTCACAGTTTGCCAGGCTGTCGTGGCGGCGACGCATGGGTCGGCGTATTCGACATTTGCGGATGAATGGACTGGAATTTTGAAGAAAGGTCTCAAGGCAGATTTCGTTGTTTGTGATGTTGAGCTAGAGCCTGAGAGTTTGATACGGGGCGTCGTCAAGGAGACATGGTTTGAAGGAAAGCAAGTATATAGGGCATCTGAGTAGAGTCTTGATCTGGGCGTGAGGGATCAATAAGTCGATCTGTATATACAGACACGTTAGCAATAGAATTGCAAGAAATGTGTATATGGGCTTTTTACTGAAGCAATTGAAAGCTGCTCTTCGTAACCGATCGAGACTTGCTCCAATGTCAATACTTCCCAGCATATAGTCTCTTCTGGAGCAAGAGAATCCTGTTGACAATCACGCAGGTGCATGTCCCGTAAGTGAATCACAATAAACACTTCTTTCGGCAATTGCCATCATCGGTCACCACACACGGAGAAATTACGTATTCATCCCGTGGTCGTGATGCTCAGGGGTGAGCGATTCGAGGTTATTCCTACCCTGCCATTATTGATCACCAATTAGTTTGTAAGCTTTTGCTTACGCGTTAAAGAGTATGCTTCAAGCATCTACGGTAGCTTGTACAACGGCCATGATATCTGCCGTCTTGTCTGGTCAGAACGTATCGAAGCACCGTCGTTACGAGACAATGTTACTAGGTATACCCGGACCTTTCAAGCCATGGTTTACAGACCACCACTTGCTAGCATCAATCTTCAACCCCCATTCGGTGCATGAGTTGTCTCGCAAACGACTCTCCTTTCGTCCAAGACTTCCTTTACGAATGCTTCAGAACTAACATCCTCGGTTATAACTAGCCCGCTCACGGCATGGCGGCGGCCGAAGACGAATTAACTCCGCCCCCCAGGCTATCCAGCCGGCGAACTAGCCCGACGCTTCTACCTGGGGGGAGCAGGTCAAGGACAAGACCATGAGATGTCATCCCAAGCAGCAAGGAGCAAATCTTCCGCGTTTGAGGAAATTTCTCAGCCTTGGGTAAACACGGAAGATTCCGCGCCGTTGAGCCCAGGAGATCAGGGCAAACTGAAGCCCTGGTAATTGGTACCTCTTCCCGCCGATTCCCCGGTTCAAGGGTCAGAAGGAACGTAGTCATGGCGTCCCAAGAGCATGACCGGAGTTGAAAATTGCCCGAGCAGTTCCTAGTCGCTGGCCATGGACTGCTTATTGGAGGAGAATGACTTTGATCCCCATAATTTCAGGTAACGGCGTCTCCTCTTTTGCGTAGATTTAGAAAGAAGAAGAAGAAGAGAAGAAGAAAAAAAAAAGATTTCAGGGCCTGAATTTCTTGCGGAAGAGGAGAAGCAGTCACAAGTGTAAAGTGGCGATGTCGTATGACTACAGAGCTGGAATTGAATCATTTTTTTCTCTTGATTCAGTTGCACACACAGACGCACACACAGCAACACACCACCAGATGCGTGCGGAACGCTTCCTATTGGCAAGGATAAATAAAAGAATCTTAATGCTGCGCGAAGGATCTGTCTGTGCATTGCAACCGAATCCTTACTGGAGAGTTTGCTCGCCTCTGCCGGGGTCATCTTCCCAGCTATTCGGGTTTGGTGAGATTTAATATCACCACAATGCAACGCGAGAACCAACAAACGCATTGAACTGGAACTTTCCAAGTTTGGACGGTCGGCTATGTTGCAGCCCGATTGGAATGTCACAGAACCAACTGATCGCCATTTAACCTCCCCCTGAAGTAACAGATTGATGGCCAGACTTTCGCACCTGCGCCGGTCGAGCGGCTTGCATGGGTTAGGAACTCGGCAGTCTGGACGGCGCCGAACCAAAATGTATCAGACCCTGTCGTTTACTACAGATCTCGTAAAAGATTTTGGGGGCGACGGTTGACCGCTTTGGTCGACAATACCCGCCAAATTCGCGCTGTGGATTCGCCTGTGGGTTCGTCTTTGGGTTCCCCTGTTGAAAGAGTATCCATTTGGTCGACACTAATCGGTGGAAGCAAATCAGAGAGCTGGTTTACATGTCGATGCCTTAAGCGACGGCGACATATGAGGAGAGGTTAGGTAGTCTGAAGAATGAAGCACTTGCTGGTAGCGTTGAGGATCACAGATGCCTACTTTGTGCAAGATCGTCGACCGGAGGGTATACCTCACCTGACATAAGGTCGCGTACCTGACCTAACAGTAGGCCCACTTTTAACGCGTTTACAGAGGACCTTACCTAATATAAGGTTATAAGAGTTTAATTAGTCTATGTAATATTTAAGGTAGGGCTACTATTAGCTTATCTTTTTTTATTTTTTTTAATATTTTTAATATTTTCTAACTTATTAAAAAACTTATATTTTTAATATATTAATAATATATTAATAATATATTGCCTTTTTTTTTTTTATTTATAATAAATTCTTTATCTTCCCTTATATTATTTAATAATTAACTATAAATATATCCTAGTATAAAGGCTATAATTAACTAAAAAAGTAATAAAATTATTATACTTTATTTACTATAGAAGTTTAATAAAATTAATAAAAAAGTAAGTAAATAATATAATAATATATTATTAATATATTACTAATATTTTATAAATATTTAATTTAATTATTATTAATAATAAACTTATTTTATTTTTATTATTACTAACTTAATTATACTATTTAAACCTTTAAAAAATAACTATTTTAGTAAAAAAATTATATTATACTTTTTTAATTTTAAATTAATTAAAAATAAGTAATAAAAGTATTAGTTATATTATATATATATAAAACCTACTTATTAAGTAGTAAAAAAAGCCTTAGGATAATATAAGTTATTTAATTTTTACTAATATATTAGTAATATATTATTAATATATTATAAATTTAATATACTAAAGCTTATACTTATTTTATAATTAATTTAACTTTTATATTTTTAAACTTAATACTTATTTAATTTATAAAATATTATTATACTAAAGTATAAATATATAAAAATATTAATTTATAATTTACTAATATATTTTATATAAAGGTAATAAAGAATTATTAAATTTAATAAAGTTAATTTAATATTAAAATTAGTAAATCTTTAAAGTAAAAAAAAGCTTTTATATAAGTAAAAAACTAAAAATAAAGTTAATATATTATTAGTATATTAAGCTAGTTAAATACTTAGTTTTCTAAATTACTTTAAAAAATAACTAGTTTAATAGGGATCCTTGATTAGGTTTATAACCGGTGGTTAGTGCTGGCTAGGATAGATAACTAAGCCAGGCTTTAGCTAGCTTAGTAATATAAAATAAGGAATATTTCCTCTAGCTAAATAAAAAAACTAAAATATATTATTATAATAAAAATAACCCTAGCTAAGATAGCGGCTTTATTTTAGTTAAAATAAGGCTATAGTAGCTAGATTAAATAATACTATAATCTTATTCTTACGCTATAGTCCTTATAGTAGCTAAATAAGTTAGGTAGTTTATAAAAGTATTTAAGTATTAATAACTTAGTTTAAAAATATATTCCCTAGTTATTAATTAAATAATAATTAAAACAGGGGGATTTTTCTATTACTTTATTATTTAATTTATAAAAAAGGCTAATTATTAAAACCTAGGCTTTATTATATATATTATAAAAGCTTTATTATTTTAATTATAAATAAAAACCTAAGACTATTTTATATAAATATTAGTATTTATAAAAATTAAAATAAAAAAGCTTATAGTTAAATATTATAAAAGTAAATATAAAAAATTAATACTAAAATAAAGCAAAGGTATTAATTAATTATCTAAAGGTAAAAAAATTAAGTAAGTAAGTAATAAAAAGTATCCCTTAGTTATTACTAAAACCTATACCTTTTAGTAAGTTATTATTTAAATTATAAATTAAACTTTTACTTTTTTTTTTAAAAAAAAAAAAAAAAAAATAATAAAAGAAAATAATTTAAACTTTTATTTTAATTATTTAATTAAGGTACTTAAAAAACCTAAAATATTTAAAAACTTTAAAAATTAAATTAAGTAAAATAATAAAAAAAATAATAAAGCGCTTAAAAAATATAAAAAAATTACTTAATATTAATAAAAAAATAATTATTTTTTTAAACTTTTTTTATAAAAAAAATATATTAATAATATAATAATATAATAAAAAAAAAAATAATATTACTAAAAGAATTTTATTAATATTAAAAAAACTTTTTTTTTAAAAAAAACCTAAAGTAAAAATAATTTTTTTTATTATTTTAATACCTTATAATTTTAAAAAATTATTATAAAAGATTAATTAATTTTTTAATATAAATAAAGTATACTTTTATTATTATAATAAATACTTATATTACTTTTACTAAATATAATAATTAAACCTAAAAATTAAACTTAGTATTAAATAAAATAAGTAAAAGTATAAAAAAATTATAATTAATTAAAAAGTTAATAATATTATTTAATTAATAGAATAATAAAAAATTAATTACTAAGAGAAGCTTAAAGTTTACTTAAGTATTATTTTATTAATAAGTTATAAATATTTTTAAATATTAAGTTAAATAATATTACTTTTACTAATACTTAATAATATTTAACACTAAGGCTATTAATTAATTAATTATTAAATACTAAAAGTTAAAAAAGGTTTTTTATTAAATCCCCTTAATAATAGTTTAGTTAACTTAACTTAGGTATATTAAGCTTTAAAATAATAAAATATTAATAATATTTACTTAGTTTTTTAAAAAAATAATTAAAAAAATATAATAACCTTTTACCTTTTTATTAATAAAAAATACTATTTAATTAAAAAAAGCTTAATAATTTTAATTAATTTATATTATAATAAATTAAAATTTATAGTTTTAATAAACCTTTAAATTAATTAATTTTAAGTAATAGTATTATAAATTTATTATAAATAAATTATAAAACTAAACTTTAATAATTAATAAGCTTAATAATAATTAATTTAATTAATTAACGCTTATATAATTTAATAATTACTTTAGTTATAAATAATATTAGCTTTTAAAGTATACTTAATTTTATTATAAAATAAAAAACCTTTTCTTTTTACTAAATAAATAAATAATAAAAAATAAAATACTTTATTAATAATAATATATTAAGCTTTTTAAAAAAGTATAATTTACTTATAATTAAATATAATAATATAAAAAAAAAGA